TTTCGCGGGGCGGATGCCGCGTGATTGGAGGAGGCAGCGACCCTCGTTTAAAACCCGCCAGAGTCAAGGTGATGCTAATCGCAAGGAGTTGCTTCTGTCGGGCCACATTTGGAGCGCCCACCTTTGACAATTCTTAACACGAAACCGAAGGAAGGATGTTGGACAGGTTACAAGCCGCCTTAAAATCAAAGTTTGCAACCAATCTCGAGAGACGGGCGTCGGCATGTGGTGAAGTCAATACGTCAATACTTGCTAACTCTGATGCAACTTCAAAAAGCAGAGTAGAGCAGGAGGAAAGTGGCTCAATATTTTCCAAGAAGTAGCTCATTATTTTCCAAGAAAAAAAAAGGACTTTTATAGTTGGTACTCCATTTGGATTTTAGTTAGAAAAAAAATAATCGATTGCGTCAGCTTTCGGCAGCAAGCCTCCCAGCATTGAAACATGATCTTACAATCGCTAATCCTAAAAGCTGTGGTGGACTCCCTGAAAAACACTCACTGACACGCGCACGCACTCAGTTTTTTTAGTAGGGGGGGGGGGAGATTCCCGATCTTAAATTATCTGAATCCTAGGCAAGGAGCCTCCAGTGTTCCTGAATAGCCATTTCCAATCAGCTGTGAAAACAACATTGATGGCGTGCTTCCTTCCTTTCGGTCATCGATGAGTGTATCATTACTGGGGCAGCAGAGGGGGTGGCGGCGGGGGTCTGTCGGGGAGGTGTTCCGCATTGTTTGGGGTCAGCCGCGTTTGGAAGTCTCTGCTTTTGTTCAAATTTCATCAAGTGTGAAAAACGGGGCCAGCCCCCCCCCCCCCGGCATCATCGTCATCTCCGTCAAAGCCGACATTTTTGGCCTTTTAAGCACAAACCATTTCCCTTGAATATTAACGCGTCCCTTTCGTTTGCTCTGGATTTTTTTTTTACAAAGTGAATTTGGCTCACCTTTTCGATTTTAATGTGATTCAACCGGTCACTCGCGATATGAGGGCTAAAGAAAGCGGGGATCAAGATCCAAGCAGGGAAAACAAAGTCCTCGCTCAAAGGCGACCCGATAACGAGTCGACGCAGGCAGAACGATTGGAAAGGAAGGACACACACTAATGAGTATTGATTGTGAACAACAAGCGAGCAGAGCGCCACACAGCTGTCTGCGCCACATCCCAGATTTGCGAGGAGGACTGATTGATCAAGAAAGCACGTTAATAGATGGAGACCTTCGAAAATGAGAGTCTGGGGGGGGGGGGGGGCATTTCCATTGCATAAGATCACCCAAAGTCTTCTTGTTCGGTTCTCTTTGATGTAGAACGCGTTCCATCACGTTTCGATGACAAAGGGGCACAAATTTCAGATACGGTTCTGTTCACTTTGGAAAAAATAGGGATTTTTTTTTTTTTTTTTACGCCGTTGTTACGGTTCTGTTAGGTTCATCGGTTAGGTACGCCAGCATTTTGCCGATTCCAAAGCGAATAAGTCGTGTCAGTTCACGTCACTCTGGAGCAGTGCACACTGACGACGTTTCCGTTGTAAAGTTTACACAAGTGAAAGCTGCAGTTAACAGTTCAGCACCAAATTCGATGTGCTCAGTTGTCTTCCGGGCAGAACAAAAGGTCACTTTACAATTGTGTGCATTTTGTTGCGTTTCCATTAAACTCGGTTGCAGAAAAATGCCACATGCATGCATTTTCATTGCCGTTTTTAAGTTAAAAAAGGACATAAAAGTAAACTGTGCTGTCAAGTTCAGAATGGCATGCATGTTGTTCACTTTCCATTTTTTTTTTTTTTTTTTGCATTTGACAGAACAACAGCTGTCTACAAGTGTCTACGCCCTCTTCCAAATTTGTGACGACGACGACAACGATGATGACGATTGACTGATGAAGAAGACGCCCTCCTATTTCCAGACCGGAGAGAGCCAGAAGCAGATGGCTCCGATTCTCATTTCCCCCATCTTGTGATCGCCCCCTCCCAATATGCAATCTGAGCTACGTTGTGACACAAACTGTTGAACGCGGGTCCATCTGAAAGTTTCACACCCAAAATCAACCGGAAAATGTCGTGCGTTGTACTCCGCCGAGGGGCTCCAGCTGCTCCCTCGTCGCAATCAAGGACAAGCACAGCTTACAGTTTAACTACAGCTCGGCTGAAAAGTCAAATATGACCTCCGCCGATGTTACCTGCCCCATCGGGCCTTTGAATGGAATAAATTATTCACAAATCACTCGCTTCTGGAGGGAAGACACAAACTCCGTTTCATGTTGAGTGCTGGAACAGCTGACGAGGGGGGGGCGGGGACTTCTTTCCTAACTGCAGCATCGCAGTACAACTTTTTCATGGCAGACATAAATAATAAATAATCATTCGACATTCTAACTTCGCCCACAATCGATCCTGTGGATAAAATCAGGCTTGGCAATTCAGCATGGCCCTTTGGTTTGGGATACTTTCATCCGATTGGGGCTCATTTGACAAAATTCCTTCGGAGGAGTTCATCTCAGTACGAGCCATGGAATTCACCCAAAATGGCCGCTTCAAACCAAAATGGCAGACTTCCTGTTCAATTTCACACCTGGGTCCGCGAGGCTTTTTCATGCGTCGTGTCAGGATAAGACATGCCCGCCGAATTTCACGTCAACAGATGACATTGATGGCGGGGAATGTTTTATTTTTTTTTCCATCTTAGCGTGGGGTGTTACTGTGAGTAACTTTTTGTTGTGGACACCTCAAGACAGACACACTGTCACCACGATATATACGCTTGCGTTTTCGGACATGATGAAGGCGATTCGTTCATCCCAACGAAAATGAACAGTGATTCCAAGCAGGACAGAAATAAAACATGATAAGACTATTTTGCACAATGCAGCAATCCATATTTGGGGAGGGGGGGGTGCTAAATCGTAAATAATGCAACAATTGTCCAAATGTCCCTCATGCCATCTCGCCACACTGTCACCCGATATCGATTTGTCCACACATCAAGCTGTCACTGCTGATTTCATCACACACATGACGGCGGTGGCTTCAATCCAGATAACTGGAACAATGCGTGTGTGTTGATTTGATTTGGAATGTTTGCAGGATTGCGCTAAAGACCCAGTTAATACCGCAGACAATATGTTTGCTGCCGCGCTGAGCAGAACTTTTATTCTGTGTTCTGCTTTCCAGATATTTGATGGTCAACAGACAACCATCAGTGTGTCCTCATGGACATCGGGATTTTCTATGGCAAACAAAGTAAGTACGGAGATTAAAGCCACGAGTTCGTTTCGCGCCATGTTGTTCCACTCCAGCCCTGAGGGTGGCGCTAAGGAGCACTGTTCGCAAATGATTATTCATAGAAAGAAGACAGTTACAACACAATACAATACAAGACAATACATCCTGGTGTATATCGCGCTTTCACAACAGCTGCAGCTGTTGAATGAGAATGCTTAAAAAAAAGTGCTAATTATGGAATGGGCTGATTAATCAACTCCGTCCGTGCTAAGAATTCAGTTGCATTTGTGCTGACATTGCAATATATTTTTCGGCATACAGTCGGGAAAATAATGTGCCCCCTGTTTCACAGATGGACATATTGAGTTGGCATACTTATAACATGACACGAAAAAGTCCCCACAAAGATGCATGTGTGACAAGACATTGAACAGGAAGCCTGCCGTTTTGATTTGAAGCAGCGATTTCGGGGGAATTCCAAGGCTTTGACAAAAAAGGGAAAAAAAATTACAATCAAACATTACATTTTCTAATTGAAATTTTGTATGTGTGGCTTGGCCCAAAATCGCCACAAACAATCTGAAAGGGTTGAACAATCGAAATTGGCCTAAGTTAAAAGAACCCCTCCCCCCTCAAATGTTGGCAGTAAATCATCACAGTCATCACATCAAACAATTACGTGACCTCTTCAAGCCTTTGTGACTTTGAAGCCTTTTTTTTTTTTCATCACGTTACCAGCCGTGCGCAAAGTTGGTCGTGCTAGTACGCCGAGTACGGAAGGCCACAAAGGGTGATGATGGATGCCCCCCTTAGATCCCCCTCCCACCCTGGCCTCGCCCCTCTCCTTGCTCGCCCTCATTTTGGGGATGCAGGAGCTCATCAGTATCTCAAGCGCGCACGCACATACACACACACACACACACACACTGACATTGTATAGAAAGTCACAAAATGCACCCATCTGGCTGCAGAGCTAACATAGCTGGAAACAAAAAGCTTCTCACTCAGCCTCTGCAAAGCTCCCGAAACTCACACTTTTACATGTTTTACACACGTTTGAAGCATCTAAATCAAAGCTACAGGCTCTATCATGTCTGTGCAGCCAGTCCGGCTCATCCTCCACCCGAAAAAAAAAACTCGAACCAGACGGCAGCATCCATTCCACAGATGGAAGCCGGGAGAGGTGCGAGGTGAGCTGCGGCGGGGGAGCCGGCGCGGACTTACCAGTCGGTGTCGGTGCTCTCGTCGATGACGTCCTGGTAGGCGGTGAGTAGGGCCAGTCTGTTCTTTGCGAGATTCACAGCCATGTTCGAGCCCAGCGGAGCATCCAGGCCGCTGCTGATGGAGGAAAGACGCGGAATGAGTGACGAGGACGAGGAGGTGGAGGAGGAGAATGAAGAGGAGGAGGAGGAAGCCATGAGTGGTGGAGACAAAGGAAACGTCATGGTGGCCGCCAGGTCCTAGCGCCCGACACACAACTCGGGGGGGTGGGACACCACGCTGCTGGGTCCTAGTGCAACCCGAATAAGTGTACAAAAAAAAGACAAAATAATGCAATACGCTGCAATAACAAATACAATTATATATAGCGCATATATACGTATATATTGTATTGACAGACAGATAAGCTACAAGTACATTTGATGACGAAACAAAGAATAAATCTGCCACTACTAAACTGCAATCATATTAGTCGTCTCTCACAGAGGATAAAGAATATATTCAGGAATAATGGCAATTTTGTTTTCCAGCAAGACCAATGTCACCGGAAAGAGCTGAAATAAAGGAACAAAACAGTGTCAATATGTTAAGATTTAAGGAATATTTTAAAGGCATCAAAAAGTGGGCAAGATGCCGGTAACTTTCTCCACTGGGAACATGGCAATTTTGTTTTCCAGCAAGATCAATGTCACCGGAAAGAGATGAAATAAAGGAACAAAACAGTGTCAATATGTTAAGATTTAAGGAATATTTTAAAGGCATCAAAAAGCGGGCAAGATGCCAGTAACTTTCTCCACTGTTAACATGCAATGGCCTGTGACTGAGTGTCTCCACGAAGATGTGGCGGCTGTTTGGTAGAAGTAAAGAGACACATTTTGAGTCAAAATTAGCATATGGAACAACTGTACAGAAGAAGAAACATGTGTGAGAATTGTTGTTTACTTTATTACACAATATGTACCTTTTTTCCTTTACACTCGACAAACACTCCATATATTGAAATAAACTAACAGACTAATACTGTACCAAAAACGTAATTAAAACAGAACATTTTCAAAAGAAAAATAAAAACGAACAAATCCGAAACAATGATCACGGTATCACTCTTCTCCCAAAGTGAACCGGCATTATTTTTACTTGATTGACAACTTATTAACATTTTAAAAATAAAGACTTTCAAAGCCTTTCCTGGAGTAAATACTTCTTTTGTGTGAGGTCCTTATGAACTCGAATTCGGGGTTCCTTTTTTTTTTTTTTTTTTCACCCTGATTTCCCGGACACATTTTTCGAGAGGCTTCTCTCATTGGCCGGCGGTGGCGGCGGTGGGCTGGTTGCCACGGTAACCTGCCTGCCTCACAGCGTCCGACCCTACACGGGGGGTGTTTTTCTCCCATAGACCGCTCGGGGGTTGGCACCAAGCCTGCATACCTTCATCATTGAAGCCACGGTATAATGAAGGATGGGGTGGGGGGGAGGTGAGGGGGGGCACCTCGATTGACACATCCAGAGATGTGTTTAAATCGGACAACTCCAGAAACGCGGAAGTTCACGTTCTTTTGAACTAAATTAGTGGCACGCTCGTTTTCATTCATAATTCAGAACATTAAGAGGAGATCAAATGAAGGTGCAAACAGTTTGCTTGGATTGTTGCAGCACTACTAGAATGAGACTGAATGAACCCGATTAGCTTAGGAACGCTATCAATTAGCATGTAGCTGCTCAAGATTGGCCTTTGAATGCAAATGCAGCCACTGAGAAGAAGAGTGGGCTAATTCCATTGTTAAATGAGTTTGCGGATGGCTGTTGCCGAATCGCTGCCCACAAAAGGTTTTACGCTTCGTGCAATGATGACCCAAGTCCAAAATCCAGCACTATTTCGTGAATGATGCTCATGAATTTAAATTGGGCCACACTGGCACCTCTTTGCACCTTTCTTTTAAAAGAGTGACTAGAAATGGATTGGGTTAGGATTCGTGGGTCAGGGTCAGTTCTTTTGGAGGTCTCGTGTCTTCATCACGCGCTGTTTTGATAGCCAGTGTAAGTGAGGGTGTGTCACAGCCAGCTGGATAAAAATCATACAAAAACATCCTGTCCTTCTTGGGGTGGGGAGGTGAAATCGGCCCTATTCCGCTCTGCCGAGTCAGCGAAGGCTCAACTGCAACCTTTCTGTCCCCAGCGCGACAGAACAAATTAGCAAACGATCCAGATTAACACACACCCTGATTGACGATGAAATAAATAACACTTATAAATATGGGCGAGTTTAATCCGGCAAATGGCTACGAAGAGCGCTTGTAAATCCTCAGATTGAGGTCAGAGCTTCGGCTAAAGATGTGGAGGGGGGGGCGGGCTTAGTTACATTTTTGTATTTTCCAAAACTTGGGCATTTTTTTTTTCATCGCAAGGGTTTTAGACATGTTTGGATGTAGGCTTGTGGGATTAGACAAAAAAAGGTGATTAATATGACTATTTCTCAAGAAGAACATGATGTGATTCTTACTCATGTGAATGTATGTGTTCTGCATGAATGTTCTTATAATATTTTGGACTGTGATATTTATTTTTTTCAAAATATATATGACATTATTGTCAGAATAAAGCGCCTTTATCCAAGCAATATTTCCATTTTTCCAAACAGATTTTTTTTTTCCACTGAGAAGTTTTTCATAAAAGACACTAATCTTAAAATACGACTTTATCCTTTTCTGCTCATACTAAGACATTTGCTAAATTACCGGTACACTGTAATGGTTTAATGAATACTGGTTTGGACTAGTCGGGGAGACTGACGAAGGTATTGATCTGTGACACAGCTGTGAAGGAGGAGACAGAAGGGCACATTGGAGCTGAACAAAAGACCAGAAAAAGACTTTCTTCCTTTGTCTCCGTCTATATACACTTCTCTACAGCCAATCTACCTATCTTAAAAGTCTACACACCCCTGTTCAAATACCAGGTTTGGGTGACATAAAAATACGCATGAGACCAAGATGAATATTTCCAAACTTTTTCCATCATTACAGCTCAGATGGAAAAAAAAAGCCGACTGCAATTCAGAATTTCATTTGGAGTGAACGAGACTAATGTTGATTTCAAACTTCCAATGTCGCCATCTTGTGTATGATTGCGAAATATTCCATTATTAAAAAAAGGGGGCTCATGGCAGCCCAAGTGAAATCGTAACAGCCATTTTCCTTGACACGTTATGGTTGTTTAACAAAATTCCAGTTGTGGTACTTCGGTTTTTGCGATGTACAGTGGCCCCTTAACTTACGATCTTAATTGGTTCTAAGTTATCAGTAATGAAAATGTAAGCAGTATATTGAAAGGGACATCGACTCACCTTTTCCTTGGAGAGTAAATTCGCCCCTTTCAAACGGTCACGACTGTTAAACTGTTCCTACCTGCAATGTTCAAAAGTAACATGTTAAATGATGGTCATACGTAAAAAAAAATAAAATACCTACCGTATAACGAAAGTGAAATAAAGCGAAACAACTCACCCGTTCGAAGGATTGTGTGGAAGTCTCAAGTAGCCCTAAAAAGCAACATTTGACCTTAAAAAGAAACATTCTCATGGTCATTAAAAAAAAAGGCTGAAAACATGTCGGAACAGGAAAGAGTTTACAGAGTTAGACTGTCACCTAGTGGCGTTATGGGGTATTACTGGATTTAATAAAGCTTTGTAGGGTGGAGGGGTGCATTATATTGAAAAGTCTGGAAAGATGTGCTGAAAATGGCCGCCACTCATCAATGACAACAAAAAAGTGTATCCACTCTTAAGTGTGAGAAACCTGCAGGAAATGACTTACTGGGTGTGCCAGGGAGGTCAGTCTCTTCACATCAACACAGCTGGCAAAACAATAAAAATGATTTAAAAGCCCATATTTCTCTTCAGAATGCTTTTATTATAAATATACAGTGTGTTAATATGGAATGGTACCTGACACTGCCATTCTTTTTTTAACGCTATTAGGCAAAAAAAATAAAATAAACGGTAACTGAGCTTGTGTTGCAATTGTCTAAATGACACAAATTCACAAGGGGAGAAAAAAAACAAAATCATAAAATGCCGTAGTGGCAACAAAGAGGATGAAGATGACCTGTGTTTTGGTGTCAGGTGAAGTGATACAAAAAAAAAAAAGTGAGGTCAGAGGATGACGACGTGATCTGAGACATTCATCGGGGCGACAAGTTTAAAGGTGCTGCATCATCCATTTTGTATCATGGATGGATTTAACATGGAAAGGTATACTGTATGTGGAAGAAAATATATACTTTCATCCAAAAATATAAACAGATGAAAAAGTAAGTTTTTCCACTGTTATCATTTTAGCACTTTTCAATACAAAAGCTTTCATCCGAACAAGTTCTTTTCAAATTTAACGCGGCAGCATTTTCGGATCCAAACAAATTACACAAAAATGAGGAATGTTGTTGTTTTCCGGCTAAAATGAAAATGCATGAAAATTGATGGTTCCTACTGTTAGCACTTTTTAATTAAAAAAAAATTATATATAAAGTTTTCGGACAACTGTGAAGCCATGTGTCAAAAGTTTTCCTTTTTTTGGACAATTTTCTTCAAAACTGTTTTTTTCCCCCTTCCTCGAGACAACATCTTTAAACTGATCATTTGAAGCCGATGAATGTCTTTTGCGCCAATCAAACCCGAAACAACTTTCCCAAATGATGGAAAAGTACTGAAGGTCCAGTTCATCCTGTGCTGTCCTGTGAATTTCTCACCCTTGTGTTCCCAAAAAAAAAAAAAAGTACAAACGGCTTTATGTTCAAGTCAACCACCACACTTTTTTTTAAACGTCCAAGCCGGCTCCAAAGTCATCAGGCACTTTCTAATGTTTAAGTCGCGTGCCGTTGGAGAGAGCCCATCAATGTTGTGGTAGTGTGCAAAAACACCGGGTATACATCATCAACTCTGAACATGCATACAACAAAAATAAAATGTAAACATTGAAATCTGTAAGACAAAAAAAAAAATAAGATCCTAGGCTAAGCTTAAATAATCAAAGAGGAAACAAAATGGTTACTATCTTTTTTTTTACATGCTCTTGAGACTACAAGACCCCCGCGTCCACTCCCCAGCAGGTGTTCGGCCTCAGTGGCGTATCATCCAACATAAAACATGCAAGAAGGTTCAAAAATAAAAATTGAGAGAAAAAAAAAAGAATCAACTGGCACCCAGTGAGTGAGCTGCTGCGACATGCTCAAAACATACACAGGACTTTGGCGAGAGGCAAAGTAAGTAAACCAGCTTGAAATATGAACGTGATGCGACAAAATGGCTTCAACGTCACATTTGTTGTTGTGGACAGAAAATGAAAATGGCACGTGCGATTTAAAGTGGCTGTCACGTTTCGTTCTTAAAGCACAAAAAAAAAAAAAAAAAACAACAACAACAACAACAAAAAAAGCCACTTAAGACAATTAGGTCCCGTATGGATGAAGTTCAAGAGGATGATTAGTGGATAAGAAAAAAATACAAACAAACAAAAAAAAAAAAAGCAATAGTATCAGAATAGATTTTTTTAAGAGAAAAAAAAAACAGCTGTATTTTTTAAAATCTGAATATATATATGTATGTATGTATATATATATTAAGAATAGAGGTAATATTACAAGGGTGGTGGTGGGGTGGGGGGCACTCAATGTTCCGGGAATAAATTTGTAATAATCCAAGAAAAAAAAAAAATGCCACAGAATAGTTTCTTTTTTATGATTAAGAAAACAAATGCAGTATTCAGGAAAAAAAAAGGATTTTCAATTTTTAAATTTCCCACACGGTCATAAAGGCCATGAGAAAAAATAGTTGCTTTTGAAAATTAGGCTAAACTTTTTTCCATAGGAAGAATTTGTTTTTGTACAAATGATGGCTTAATTATTATATCCCCCCTCCCCCACAATAGTGTATTACGTACGACTTTCTTGTAGTGTTACAAATTTTTTTTAAAACTCATATATCTGTGATTTTTTTTTGGGGGGAGGGGGGGGGACAAAATCCCTATTTTATTCCAGTAGATTTACTTCTTTTCTTCGAATATCGCAACATTATTCTATTAAAAAACTTTGCATAACATTACAATAAATGTTTTTTTTTCTATACAAGAAACGGACCGATTTTTTTTTTTCAGTATTTATACAACTTTCTCCACCCAACTTTGTCCTTGTAATATTTTCTTCGGGAATCTACAACATTTTTGCTTCGAAAATTACATTTTTATTCTTGTAATATAAAATTTATGGCAGGAAATTTATGATTGTATTTTGTCATTTACAATCTTTTTTTGAGTGTAACGTTATGTTCCCCCCCCCCTTTTAATATTAAATTCATCCCATAATATCACAACTGTATTTTCATAATGGTACGTTTTCTTGCTAACGTTATGATGCTATTGTAATTTTTTTTCTCTTAACATTTCGGCTATTCTAATAAATTTACAACATTCTTCCTGTACTTTTTATTTTGTTCCTCGTCAAATTCAGACTCATTTCTTCTATACGACTTTATGTAGGTCATTTTTTTTTTTTACTAATGTCACATTATTCATGATGACAATTCCTGTAATAATTTTCATAAATATATTTTTCTCATCATATTACCTTATTGTTGTCATGTCACATTTATTGTATGACATTATTATTATTATATTTTTTTAAAACTTTCTCGTAATATTACAACCTTTTTCTCAGCTCAGCAACCGTCGCTATGCTCACTCTTGATAAATAAAAAGTGAAACAACGGAAAGTATCATCCAGATTGAGTCGGACGTAAAATGACCAAACAGTGTGATACATGAAAAGGTAATTGAAAAAAAGAAGAAGAAAAAAAAAAAAGAAGTGTCACTATGACACAAATGGGAAGTATTCCACTATCTTTTGAAACACTTCACCATATTGAGAGTTTGTAGTGTGTGTGTGTGTGTGTGTGTGTGTGTGTGTGTGTGTGTGGAGAGAGGTTTGAGTGTTGGACTAGATTGGCTTTGGCTACAGAACAAGAAATAAACAGCACCAGGTAGTCATGAAGGATGGACAGTCGTAGTTGTTGCTTCCACTACTCAAGAAAAAAAAAAAAAAAAGATGACACGCGTATAAATATGGACATGTGCAAATTTGAACCATAAAGTATACAGATGATTTCAAAAGGAAGAAGGCGGGGATTAAAGGGACACCTTGACATGGAAAGTTGTACTTTTTTTGTTTCCCCTTTGGCTGTGTCCAAAATAATTCTCCATTTTATGTTTCGCTGTTCATTCATCTATTCCGGCGACATATAATGACAGAGAGAAAATGTTCTTTTTCACTAAATGGCAGAAGGTACAATTAAAACGATTGCCGTACACGTGCACGCACACTCGCTCACACACGAGAATGATCGCTTTGTGTTCAACTGAACAGGTCCATAAGTTATACACTGAATAAGTGAACGATTTGCGAGTGAATTCGGACGTGTTCACCATGATATACTTGACGTGAATTTTTCTGCGTGTGGTGGCGTGCCGTGAAAATTTCCGTCCCGGCGTCAAGGTATCTCTTTAAAGCGAAGCGAAGCCGGCGATGACCGCGGGCCCCTATAAGGCACGTTAGTGTCGGAAAAGCGAGCTAATAGTTAAACACTTCATATAACGTTAAGCTAACTAACTAATGAGCACGACTTCTGGGAGTGCCCCACGCGCATATATGTGTGTGTGTGCTCCCGAGAACTGTTTTTTTTTTTAAATGGTAAAATAACTGTCTCGACAGAAGTAGAGCACAATTCAAATTTGAAGCTACCAGACTACAGTACAGATGCTCGTTGTGATGGCTCGATGCATAGCATGCCCCTTATGCGTAATAGACTTAGGTTTTAATTTATTGATGGATCTTATTCGATATTTCTTTTGAATAATGGATGAGAAGGGTGGGGCTAAGAATGTGGCAGCGCTTGTTCAAGAGTCTCCGTTGCTTGTTTCACGGGAAAGAAAAGAAATGATTTGCGATTGTCTGTGTGACTGTAAGAATGTGATCAAAACATTCTGAGCGCAGATGTTGGCCTCCCACCAGGCTGGTAAAAAAAAAAAAAGGTGGATGATAGTTTTGTGGGTGGAGTCTCTTCAGCTCTGCTGAGCCAGGACCAGAGCACTGGCCTGGGGCAGAACGGGGCTCGGGTGGCCCTTTGAGACTTCCACGTCACACTTTTCCACACTGGCTACCATCTGATCGCCGAATTCCTCCATTTTGTCCGCCGAGGAGTTCCCTTCCTCCTGGACGTCCTCGTTCCGCATCTCGACGTTTCCTACCTGTTTGGTCGTGAATTCCGACTTGCGGTTACTCGTCTCCGTTCGCTCCGCTTCGGCTTCTTTCGTAGCTGTTACAGTCCTCTGGCTTTCCATCCCGGAGCCCGACGGGAGGACTTTGCCGAACTTCATCCCGTTCAGATCCTCGTCCAGTTTCACCTGGAATGGCGGCAGGCCGAGCAGGAAGGCCCTGATCCTGCCGGGGGAGCTCAGGTCTGCCGGTTCCTCCTGGCTTTTTGCTCCCGGTTCCTGGCCGCCCCCTCCAATGGCCCCCGAGATGAGGCGCCCGCGGCCACCGCCCAGGCTAAAGTCTGCGGCGCGCTCCGAGCAATCGGCTTTGACTTTCTTGAGAGACGGCTCGTACTCCGTGCCGTTAGTGGTCGCTTGACCCAGCTCGGCAGGGTCCGTGCCGGGTCGCTTGAGGGTAAAGCGCTTGCTGAGGTTGAGGGGCAGGGCCTGCTCGGGCGGCGGCGTGATGGGAGAGCAAGGCGGCTTGACGCTCAGGTCCTGGGAGAGCGCCTCGGAGAGCCTGCGGGTGAAGGTTTGAAACTGAGTCGAGCCAAGGCGCGTCCTCATCAGCTGTCGTACTTGGACACTACAGTCCAGGTCCAAAGGTAGGACCCGGAGTGGGGGCAGAGGTTGACGGTAGCGTGGATCCCGAGCGCCTCCCCTCTCGGTGTCCTCGTCCAGGTTGCACCCAGAGTACAGGTTGTGGTGCTGCTGAACAGGGCGGGGCGGCGGCGGCGGCGGCGGCAGCTGGTCTGCGATCGGAAGAGGCGTGTCCGGGCTTCCGTGTTTGGGCTGGAGGGTGTAGACGGCGGCGTGCGGCTGACTCGGCTCTTGGGGCGTCAGGCCGGGGCTCTCCGTGACCCTCTGGAAGCTCACGCAGTTCCTGAGCACGTCCAGGGGACACAGGCCTTTGATGGGGCTGAACCCGCCCAAGGATCCGCCCACAAAATGGCGAGGCAGCGCCGAGAGGAGGGCGCCCGGAGCCGCGGCTGCGGACTCCCCGGCCCGATCCTTGGGCTGCTCCTTTGGCTTGGGCGGAAAGGGGAGGAAGGGGGTGGACATGGGGGAGAGGTCGGGAGTGAGGGGCATGTTGATGGGGAGGAGGGCCGGCTGGGTGGGCTGCAGGGAGGCAGAGGCGAGAGGCTGCGGCACCTGGAGAGATGAGAGAACGCAGATGGTCACCATCTTACGGAGAATGGACTTTTTCCATGGCTGGTTTACAAAGAGCTGGTCTGGAGTATCGACCCCACTCCTGCAATTTTGACCTATTTTGACACCTGGACCAAAACCCAAGATGCTTCTTTTTGCCTCCTTCGCTGGGTTTAATCACGAAAGCGCAAGTTAAAGAACCAAGCCCGATATTGACTGGCGGCCCATTCAAGCTTGTACCTGCTGCGCGCTGCCGTTAGGCGCCAGTCCATTGGCGCTCGGGGCCGCAAGGAGAGCCGTCGAAGACTCCGCTTTGACCCTGGCTTGTTGTTGCGCCAGCAGTTTGGCTTCAGCGATCAGAGAGGCCTTGTTGCGCTTGCCCGGCGGCCGCCCTCGCCCTCGCTTCACCACCACCACGGTGCCGTCAGCGGTGGTGATCTGTGCAGAAGGGAACATCAACGCAACCATTGAGTTCTGGTCGTATGATACGGGGGGGGCAGAAAAAAAAAAATGAAACTAAGATCAAAAATACAAATACCATTGACAGTGTCTACAAAAGCTTATAAATAGCAGCGGGGGAATTTTTTTATTCTTACGGTGGTAGGTGGGGTGGCTGCCATCTTGGCTTTGACTTTGGGTCCAGGTTTTCGGTTCCGTGGGAGCGGCTTCCTCCCTCGGATGCCTCTGGGCTTGACGGGCAGGTTGCATTGTGGGATTTGGAGTTCTATGCCTCCGGCTATCAGATGCTCTTCGTAAGGGAGCATCAGCCTGAGACAAAAAGAGACGTCTTGAGATGTGCTGTCGAAAAGCCGGAACTCGTGCGTAAAAGGCGAACCTTTCGTAGTGTCTCCTGGTGCAGGTTGCGGCGCTGGTGCTGCCAGGACATCCGCCCAACTCGTTGTAAACCACCTTCCACATGCGGTCCGACGTGACCTGAGACGCCAAAACGTGGAATCCGTCACGGTGTTCATTTGTCTCAATTCAAACGGCACATCGTCGATGAGCAAAACAAAAGAAGCTTTCCACTAAATATACACACGAGGCGACAGAACGAGAAGACAAAAGACAATAAGTGCGTGTTACCTTTTCATAGCCTCCGAGACGTCTGACCACCGAGTACATGAGGAAGAGGTCGACTAACGGCACCGGGACAGAGAGAAATCAACATTCTGTTTGAAATGTCCTCCGGTGAATAAAACAAAGGTCGCGTGAGACCAAAACTCACTCTTCTTGAATCCGAGGTTGGGCACTTTGTGGATGGGTGAGCCTTGGCGCTCCATAAAGGCGAAGAGCTCGTCCAGGAACAGCTGCTCTTCGGGGTGGGGGAGCCAGCCGCCGTCGCCGCCCACCTCCACGCTGCCCATCACGTTCTCCTAAACAAAGCCGACATAAGAAGGTTGTCATCATGTGCAAGCAGAAAAAAAACAGACCAGGGAGGATTCAAGAGATGGCTGTCTTAAAAGAAAATAAAGTGTAAATTATAAAAAGCAATTATGAATGATTGGAATCCCAGTTTACACGCACTGGGTTCAATCTTCAGCGAAACATAAGCAAAGTGTGGAGAGTCTCTGTCGCCAAAATGCACAGGCGCAGTCGGCGAATGGGACGATCGATCATTGACAACAGACCCTGATCAGTTTTTGAGGGCAGAAAAGAAAAAAAAATATTGTTGTGGCTTCCTAATAGATTAAACATTAAAACAAAAGTCGGGGGGTGGGTGAAGAAGACTCAGCTAATGTAAACTAACGCCATTTGTCTGCAGAGAGAATCAAACCTTCATCTTCTCGATCCAGGATTCCGACTGGCCGGAGGTCGGTGTGTCTCTGCCGTCATGGCCTCGTCTCTTGCGAGGTCGTCCTCGGAGGCTAAGAGATGGACACCCTGCGGCAAAAACAAACAAACACACAAACAAAAATGATGAAAAATACTAGAATGAAGTCATTTGTGTTTTGTTTTGTTTTTGCGGAGGTACTTACGGAAGTGCCAGGAGAAACTGACGCTGCTTTCCAGTGTGGGGTGGTTGAAAGTGTCCCTGCAGTACATCAAGCGGGTGCTGGGCGTCACCCTGACGCCGCCCAGGGCCAACAGGTGGACGTCCTGCAGCGCCGGACCCCGGGCGTCGTCCTGGATGCGCCTCTGCAGCGAGCGGTAGCGGCAGTACTGTGGGTAGCTGAGGACTTTGACGCTCTTGCATTCGGCCACGCCGTCTGTGACACAAAAACAAAAAAAAGCCGCAATGTCAGCGTGCGTGCGTATGGTTATTTGTCTTTATGTGCCCTGGAGATGACGGAAGACGCGTCCAGGGTACGTCCCTCGTTTCTCAGCATTTCAGCTGGGATAGGCCACAGCTCACCCAAGAGGATAAAGCGTGACAGAAAATGGATTTCTTACTTTCACTCTTGTCCTTCAGAGGCTTGTAGTCCGTTGTGTTGCCGGCGCCGTCGGCCGTGTCGCTGCCCTGTGGCGGTTGGTGGATTCGGTTGGGGGTGACGCACGGCGCTGCCTTCGGCTTGCCTATCCACCCCGGCGGCTCGGCGCACGACCACCGCACCAGGTCCTCCACCCGCATCACCATCTTTCGGGACACGGCCAGAACTTCGTCCTACGGAAAGGCGCGGGAAATTATCACTCGACATTCCCAAATGTGGTTCAATTTGGGATCTGGGCCAATAACATGCTGGAAAAATATGCCTCCAAAGCCAAATAAAACTTCGAGCGTGATGCCACATAAGCTCAGCAAATCTCATGAGACTTCAGTTTAGTGGGCCCGAAAGATTTGAGGTCGAAGCCGATACTTGGTACCAAATACTGTATGTTATGATAACCAATTAAATCGGTTATTATTTTGAAAAGGCTTCATCTTTCAATTCTCTTCTCTTGCTGTTGTTTTAAACAATACTGGAATTTTTCTCATGATTAAAACCAAACCAAAAATGGTGGTGTTTTGGTGGGGGTGTAACAAATCAAATGGCATTTCAGTTCGTTTCAGTGAGGATAACTGATTTGAGTTGAGCTTGACTGCATTTCCCGTGGGAAAATGGTTTTGAAATCACAACAAATTGAACATCAACAGATTTTGTTTCCACTTTGCGTGCGCCACATGATTTTTTTTTTTTTTGTCTGGACTACGATGGCACGTTTATGCTCCGTGATTTCACTTCTTTCTCAGTAGATTGGGGACAGGGGCGGGGGTAAAAAAAAAAAAAAATCCTGCATCATAGATTTATCAAATCCCGGCTGTGCTCGCAGCGGCTGACTCCGTTCTGTGACATTCAAGGTGCGGCATCTTATTTTGGGATTTCGTCACGCTGGCTGTCGATTCTTAAATGTCGTCTGTGAATAAATAGCACGTTATGAGGGAGTCGTAGTCCAGACGCTTTACAGTGGATGTATGTTTGCAGCCTGTCTGCAGGGAACCCCCCGCCCCCCTCCACCTCCCGTATCCCACCTCCACCTCTCCTGGGCCGCTTCCAGGTGGGAGTTCCCGCATTCCTGCCCCCACACACACTAGCCAGGTGTGAGCTCATTAATGCACCGTGAGGCGAGCAGGCTGAGGGCTGAGGGGAGAAGGCTCAACGTAAAGAAAAAGAAAAAAAGAAAGAAGGTTTATTCATTTCAAGCTTATCTGGCGAGCGGGGCTGATTTATAGGCCCGCGCCACAGGCTACGCCGCAGTGCATCATTGTGCAAGACTCTCGTTTGTGCTGCGTGTGAGGTGAGGCGGAAGCCGCTGCTTCTAATTCAAAACAACGGCGAGTGAGCCAGCAACTCGCGGCACCTGAAATGGAATCGGGCTGAGGAGTCTCTCGGCCAGAAAAGTTGCTCCAGGCAAACTTGAACATGAAAGTGGGAATTAGAAAGAAAAAAAGAAAAAGATGTAGACATTATTGAGATTCCTCCCACAACACCTTTAGAGGCCACGTTCTTGTGACAAGGTTATTATTAGATGTTTGTGGCGAATTCCTCTGATTATATTAAGGATGGCGCTGGACTCACTCGCTGGCGTACAGGAAGAACATTTCCATGCGGGCGACATGCAGTCTGATCTCAAATGAGCATCCCATTCCGACGTGTGATATTTGTGTTGTCGGTAATCACGCTCCCCATCACAAAAAAAAAATGTATGAAGGTATAAATATTACATTTCACAATAAAATCAATGCCAAAGCCCATGAAGGCAATGCTGGTAGTGAATGAGCCAGCGTAGCCCCGCACTGGCTCTCTCCCATTCCCCCGAGACCTTTCACCTACCTCTCCGTGCTCCCCGGTTCGACCCTTTGGTGTGTCTTCTGGCAGGAAGTAGAGTCTGGTGCTGGCCAGGAGGTGGCGCTGCATCTGGTCTTCCCATAGTAAAGTCACCTGCATGCAAAGGAGACAGTAACAATTTTATTATGGACTTGTTTTGAATGGTATTGGACCAACGAGGCATCCAAAAAACAACCTAATACTTTGTAAGTCAAAATCAAGTTTGAACTAACGTGTATATAAGTCCAGTCAAAATCCCCACACTGCAAAATGATGAGGGAATAGTGTGAATGATTCCAAATACAGTCACATTGACATTTTTCTATGAAGTGGACAATTCACTCATCACTCAAATGAAAAATAGTTTTTGAAAACGACTTGGCATCGCGTCTAATTATGTCATTGCTCTTGCACCCAACTGGGGCCGATGCTCTATGTCTGTACTGCACACAGAGGCAGGCCAAAATGCTCCGATACTATGAAGCCGATACCAATTTACGAGATAGAGATATATCTCCTGGCCACGTGGAGCAACTTTTCAGCCGAGTGCAATGTATTTGAAGCAGCGTTGTATTTCTTTTTAAAACACCGCAATCACATTTGCACATCTCCTCCTCCTAAAATGTCCATATCAAACCCGGCGGCGGGTTTCCATCTAAATATAATGCCATTAACATGTGGCCTCACTTGATGTGCATGACACCTTCATGTGCCAAGTTTAGCTTTCGCATTGGGCAGCCGACTCACCTCAGCGATGCACACGGGATCCTCCGCCCCGCAGCGGACAAAGTAAAACTCGCCCAGCCGCCACACCTGCACGGGGCCGTCGGCTCGGGTTTTGCTGCCGACCGACTTGTAGAAGGCGTAGCTGCCTCTCTGGCAGCAAGGAGCACCCAACCACTGTTGGGGGGAAGACAGCAGCGCGGGGGTCAGGACAATGGTCAAAAGTGCATCTGCAGATTTGCGATGATGACGACGACGTGTAATTTCAGCAATCGCACATAACTGGTCTTTCCATTGTGGGGGATTCAAATTGTCGGCAAACACAATCAAGGGAGGGTTAGTGGCTTTCATTTTCAAAATACAAAATGAGGTTACATAAACGCATAACCAGTTTTCAACCACCACTTTTCACGATGGGAAAGCGGTGCCATAGCCGCACCTCACGCAAAACACATCAAATGTCATGATAACAAATATTTTTGTACGATTTAGACTGATTTGTTAAGTGTTACGATTTACCCCCTGTCATTTTATTCCACTTTTTTTTCTTCAGTCAAAAAGTATTTCACGGTAACAACGAGCTGTCCTGGCTTGTCAAAAACAAATGTCAATCGTGCATATTTACTGATAAATCTCTGATGCCACAATCTTATTCTTGTAAGATAACCAGCTTGTCAAGCTCGACTTTTGACAATTCAGTCATGTTAAAAAAAAAGACTTTTTTTTTACCATGTAAAATCTTTGTCACCGACAAGACTGATGAATTTGACTGATTATGTGCTGATTATGTCATTTGCCCAAGAGCAACATTCTTGAACATTTTCATAAAACAAGGGGGGAAAAAAAAAACAACGAATTAATTTTTCTGCCTTGATTCACCCTTTACAAAATTGACCCGCATGAGACAGGCAATGATGCTATCAGGCTAACAATGTGCTACGTGTATCCATCGCCGGCAAGAAGGTGAAGAATTACGTTAAAAATTAAGCCCTGCGTGAGCGCAGCATATCTGCGGCTCCTGATACCGACTGTATATATCGCCGGGGTGATTGTGTGTGTGTGTGTGTGTGTGTGTGTGTGTGTGTGTGTGTGTGTGTGTGTGTGTGTGTGTGTGTGTGGGGAAAAGTCTGACACGGCTCTGCGCACATGACGTTGTTTCAAAATGACTCACAGCGTAGCCTGTGACACGAAATGATGCATTGAGCTGCTGTGACGTGAATGGTCGGAGGAGGTGTCATAATCCGGATTGGACACGTTTTAATAAAGCGCATGGAGGGATGCAGTCGAGTTAAACAGTTCAAGTTGAGGCGAAAGATGTCCTTTTTTAGCACATGTTGAGATCTCAAGCACACTTACAATCCACAACATTGAAATGTTCTCCCAATAAAAGCGTGACCACTCTGCGGTGGCGGAGCCACTGTGCAGTTTGTAAAGAAGTGATTCATCAAACAGAAGCACTCAATATTTGGCCCCGCTTTTGAAACAGATCTATGTCAGAAATGCATGGTGGGGCCCAGATTGACTATTTCGAAAGACCGTCGGAGATTTAAGGAGTGTTTCTGCTCATGGCGCAAAGTTGAAGGCTCCTTTCACTCAGGCTTTTTTTTTTCTAAACACAAGTACCTCTGATTAACCCCCCCAAAAAAGTTCAGCTGTTCTAGTAGGCTTTCCTGACCATTTTGTTTGACTTTCGACCAGAGGCCTGAAGGTTTTATCATTGATGAACAGTTATAAGAGGGTGTGCAGTGTGCACAACAGTTCATGCACGTTGTCTCAGTTGTTTTTTTTTTTTTTTTTTTTTACTTCTCTTGAAAATGTTTCGCTTATTTTTGTTTTCCTGAATTGAGTTCGACTGTAGGTCGACATTAATAGCGGAAAGAATGTTGAAATTATCTGTATGTTTATTTTACCATTTGAAAAGGGTGTGTAAACTTTTTATACCCACTGTATGTTTCAAAACCTTATTTTGAGTCGATCACTGCAGGCTGTTGTTTTTTTATTACAGGGCGGCCCAATGCTAAACATGGCAGCCAGGGAAATGCGGCCCTCGCGATATTGAATCCATCAGGCTCCTCTGTGATTCCAGTTTGGAGCTGAAGGCATGAAAAAAAAAAAAATTTAAAAAAAAAGGGCCGAATTACAGCAGCTTTACGTGAAACACAATACGCGTACTCCCAGCTGCCGCCTGCCAGCAGCAAACAACCCCAAATATTTCTCAGACGATCTTTCTGGGTGACAAACAGTTGAGCTCAAAAAGGTGCTCACCTCTCAACGCGACTCGTTTGCACAGAGAAATATTGTCCGCATATAATATTTTAATGGCTGAATGATGCATTAGGCACTCAGTGAGCTGCTTTTTGAATCAGGTGCACTATGGTTACTTTTAAATGGAAGAAAAACTTTTGTAGTTTTTTAATATTTATTAAAAATAACTAAAATAGATATTACTCAACGGTAGTTTTAACAATGAAACAGACAAAACTATTTAAGAAATAGCGCAAAAACGCGTCACGTTGTTTTGACAACAATCTCAGTGTGTTTGACTCAATAGCACCTCTGCAGGTGGAGCCACACATTGCATTTAATTTTGATTTATTTGGCAGAAAAAAAAAAGAATTATTTTTCCCCGTTGTTTCTAATCATGTTGCTATTTGAACCTTTATCTGTAAAAATTCTATCATCAAAAAACAAATAAATAAATCAACATACTATATGACAAAATTAAAATCAATAATAAGCTTAGTAACCATAATGTAAAAAGTAAACATTGTTGGCTAGAAAATATTGTCATTATTCAATACTGTAGTGCTCGGATAAATAGTTTATAGAGAATTTTTAAATATGGTAATAAGGGTAATTTATCCATTCCTACATTAAAAATATGAAATTTTTGTATTCCAGGCGAGTGTCTTTTTGAGATGAAATAATCCATGTGGTGTGTGTCTGTGTATATGGGTGGGGTCGCAAGAGCAGCTGCTCCTCATTTACTCCAACTAAAAAGGTCGGATTTGAAGATTCACCCAAATAAAAGTGCTTATTCTGCATTTCCTGTATAGGCCAACTTGTGCGCTTGCACATTACAGTACAACAACCAGTTGTTCCTGTTTGGCTCGTCATTGTTATGCCTGCCTTCCTACTTCCCTGCTTGCCGAAATGCAGAATATTCTCAAATTTGCACTCTTGTGTGGATCAACTATAATCAGCCCCCCCCCCCTTTAAAAGAAGAAAAAAAACCACCATGCCGTGCAACCCCTCCCCCACCGCATACCCACCCTTCCTCCTCCCTAACCCCCACGCGCCACAGTTCTGCAGACAAGCTGCAGCAGGCACAGGATCAATTTATAAATGAATAATAAAAAAATTTAAAAAAAAGCCAGAGCAGCAAATAAAAATTTGGAAAGAAGAAAAAAAGAAGACATACAGAGTGGTGACGTGGTGAAGTCACAGTGCCTCAATTAGCATCGGAGAGAAAGGAAGCCACACATGACCGACACCCAGAGGGAAAACGACACATACACAAACGCCCCCCCAAAAAAACATCATCAAAAAAAAAAAAACCCAAACACAACAAAGTCTCATTTTCAGTCTTAACGCAACATTTATCAATCTTCCCTGACGTAAAAGAAAAAAAAAAAAGGGCGAGGCCAACGGTGGAGAGCAAACATACATATGCAGCTGAAATTACAGAAGCAAAGAATAAAAATAAGTGTGGGAAGACTGCAGTGATATTATAATGACACACTGAGAAAGTGGGCCTACAGTAAAAAAATAATTAAAAAAAAAAACACACGGTACTAATAAATACCCGGGAAAATAGAAATGCATTTTTTTTAAATAGAAATGACAATTTAGGTGGAGTATCAACAATACGAATAAATACAACTGCCTGCTGCGACAATACACCGATAGAAATGTGCATCAAAAAAGGCATATTTTGCCGATATTTCAAAACAACAGCAAACGGGCGCCTCAAGAACAAAAGGGTGAAATATGTGCTATAAATAGACTTGAAAAGCAACTCGAAACGGAATATCTTAACATTAAAAGCGCTACGGCAGACATTTTCCTAAACATATTTCCTTGACAAGATGGATGCCCTACAAGGCAAAAATAAAAAAAAAGCAAGCAGGATGCACACGAGATCATCTCAGGTAATAATATACAAAAAAAAAAGAACTAAATAAGATTCTGAAGCTAAAAAATATTCGTAACTTGAAAACAACACACACCCAAAAAATCCAGTTTAGTTTGACCGATACATAGTACCTGAAAAAAGATATCACTGAATTAAATGTTCAAACTGCACATAATCCATAATTACGATGGCTTAAAGTTAGTTTAGCGTGTTTAGTACATCTCCTTGTATTTGACTTTTAAGCACAATACATTTGCATTGAATCATTCAAAAGTGTCAGCTGAGGCATTTTTTTTAAAGTCCCTTTTTGTTTCGTACACTTTAATTAAATCCTTACTGAACTACATGTTTTTTTTCTTCGACATTAAAGGGCAATGTTCATGTTCAAACTGGCCATCATGTTGCAGTGGCTTAATATTAAAGACACATTTTAGGACGAAGACTTGTCTCGTTTTCGATGAACATTACTTACTGAGGGCATGCCACACAACTGAATTTTTGGAGGGGCTGCTTGTAAGCAGTTGGGGGAACCACTGCAATACACAAATCAATCCACCATTTTGTTGTCCTGAAAAACTGTTTACCAGCCATAGTTGTTGTTGAAAGAAGCTCAGCAAATACAGCTCAGGCTGTGCTACAAATATACCCTATTCTACCACCCCATGATATCTTAATCATTTTTAACATCAACAATATTAATCTACGGCGCTTTTCAACTATTTATCAGTCCAAAAGAGCACGAAAACAAGCAAGAACAAAACTCCCTTCACTTTTAAATCCACCGGGGCACCAGGATGCACATTCTCCATGTACTTCATTTAATTACAGTGAAGCCGCGTGATGAATAGCAACATGAGCATATGATAAACATACTATTATCCATTAGAAGGATTTCATGCAGCAGTCTCAAATCTTTCTGGACTTTTTTTTTTTTACCCCCTCCCTCCTCCAGAGCCTGAGGGGAGGTGGCTAAGGAAGAGAACAGTGCTCGGCTCAGCCTAGCGGTGGAAATGAGGCAGGAAAATAAAAGCCACATAATATAATCTGAGAGGCCAGTCTCAAAATGTGAACACGAACAAACACACACACACACACACACACACACACATACACACACACACACACACACACACACAGTTTCAGATGGAAACCCTTAATCTGTTTGCGTCAGTGCTCGTGATATTTTCTGGGAAATAAAATGCAGACATTTTTGTGAGCAGTTCTAAGAAAACTCCCTTTAAATATTAGAAACAGAATGTCCTACCATATAGATAAGTCTTTTAAAAAAACAACAACAACAAGCTAAGAGTATTGACCTTGGCTATATCCTGTTATTCAACACAACAGGGAAAGAAAACAGCAGTGAGACTTTGCTATTTTAAATTATGAATATTAGATAACAGTATTAAATGTACTCGTGGGGGGTTTGTGTTAAAATATATTGATTTTATGAGCTCTGTTCTCCCTCTTTGTGGGGTTTAAGTCTTAACTAAAAAAAAAAAAAAAAAATCACATATCTGCCTCAATATATGCATTCCTCCTTAAACTGTGGTAATTACGGCCGAGACAAAATGTCGGGGCTTGATAATATTATTACGCCCCCTGTTTAACGCCAACGAAACAGTTAAACCTCGCCCCGGTCGAGCTAATCCAACATTTTTAAATAAAAAATAATACCTACTTTATTTTCAATTATAACGATCGCTAGCTGGTGGCTAGGCTAAGCTAGCTAGCTGGCTGGGTTTAAAAAAAAGAGGAGGAGGGGTGTTAGCTTTAAAAGTTTCCTGTTTTTTTTGTCTATTTTAAGCGATAAATGTTATTTTATTCCGATAATATGTGCTTCGCACGGGTGGGTGGAGGGAGGTCGGTTAGCATAGTCGCGAAACCGGGGAGACTAATGTCGACACGACCACACAAAGAAATTAATCATTAAACACAACGGGAAATATCAAGAAATTATTACACGCGGATTTTGAACGTGCTGCCGTTGGGGGGGACAGTCAGGCTCCAACTCGTTGTGTGTCACGGTCGAACGTTTGAGAGCGAGGGTGGAAAATTATCCAAATATTAGAATATTATTCATACATATGCCACGTTTGAAGCGGGGGAAAGTTGGAATAAAAGTTGGAATTGTGAGTCACAGCAACTCTATGTGTCTGTGGGGGCGAAGGGGGGAGGGGGGCAATCAATGCGATATGGACAAACTAAATGAAATAAAACTCTAAATCCGAGGCCATATTTGTCGACGATTAATTTCGTCAAGGTGATGGGCAGCGAGAAAACCGACTGGTACACATCGGGGCATTTCATGGAAAAAATATAAATATAAATATATATATATTTTTTACCTGTATTGCATTGTGCTCCATTGCAGTCCTGCATTCCCTCTGCGAGGCCCCTCTCCGGTTACACCACCGGGACTCGCCGTCACACAAACAAACGCACCACCACTGAACCAGAGAGAGAGAGAGAGAGAGAGAGAGAGAGAGAGAGAGAGAGAGAGAGAGAGAGAGAGAGAGAGAGAGAGAGAGAGCAATACACCCCCCCCCCTTAAAAATCAGCTTTTTGGAGGAAATAGGGCAGGCTCGAGGTGTGGCCAAAGTTAGCCAACTTAAATGTTAATAACGAAAGATAAATTCCTCTACGGATGAGCAATCTACTTTGATAAATCCACCTCGGTATTGACTTCGATTTTTTTGAAATGTAACAAATTCAATCAAGTATCCAAGTGAGGAAGCCAATAAGATGTCCGAGTAGGTAATATTGTCACGTAACATTTTGGAAAAATTAAAAAAAAAAAACGTTGAGCTGATCCCAGAGCTGCCTCCTCTCTTTTTGTTTCTGTTGTGTGTTGGCCTTCTGCGCATGCGCGAAGTTGCACGCATGGCGATGATTTCCACTGGTCGTAAAGCTTGAAAGCCCGTAGGGAAAAAAAAGAAAAAGTAAAAGCTAAATCTATAACAGAAAAAAATGTTGATTGTCTAATTAAAAATATTCAAATTAATGTTATCATTATTAATACTAAGTGTGGTGGTATCAGGCACTATATGCGTTTAGTGTTTTTTTTTGGTTTTTTTTGTGGGTGAAGCATTGAATGGAAGCTGTAATGACAGCATCCATTGTTCATGTTTCTGGAAATATCCAGCCTGCCATTTTCTGATAGCCCAGTTGAAAATTAAGATGAATAGTAACACACACAGACACAGACACATCGAAAGTCAGGCGAGATTGATGACCAGGACTTTTATAAGACTGCAGTCTGCAGAAAAGAACAATTTAACTCTTTCTCAACCAGGCATGAATGTATTTTTTAAGGCTCAACTATTTCGATAAGCACTTAAATTAATATTCCATATTTGACTCCTCCCAGCACACACACACGAAAAAAAAAACATAAAAAATTGAAATCACACATACAATATTAAATACATATTTTTGGAACGAAAAAAGTATTTTGAGAGTGTAAAGTTGTAATTTAGGAGAATAAAGCCATGTAGTTTTTACATTACAGATGTAATACAAGAATAAAAATGTATACAGTATTTGAGATCAAAATTTGTACATGAAAGAAAGTCGTGTGGCATTGTGGCAGACATTTTCAAGAGAAGTTTTAATTCAAGTAGCTTTACAACAATACTCATATTTTCTCAGGATAAAGTCATACAGTATATTTACGAGTTATATTACAAAAAAAATTCAAAAGTAATTTTTTTTTCCCTCGAAAATATAGAACCTTATTCTTGCATGATTATAATCTGCAGAATAACTAAAAATTGAAGCAACGTTCTAACTCATCTTGCAACTAGACAACCCTTAAAAAAAGCTACTTCATTATCACAATATTCTGAGTCTGGCTGTAATATTGTTTGGACAAAAAAAAGGTCAAATATAAAGCTGAACTGGCCTAGTGGTGTGCAATGTCGAAACAAACCACTAGGGTGTAGCATATCAGAATTGTTGGGGAGAGCGAATACAGTACACATTGCTCCAGGATACACACCCTTGCAAAAATAGCGAAAGAAACAACCCCTACCAAATGGTCAAGCCTGATTTTATCCAAACAGGGTGAACAACTCCACGTATGTTTACATGGATGGCGGCTTGCTTACCTGCTGCTGTTGTGCAAAGCTTCCAAGTCACAAAATATGGACCAACGCAGGTTTTGTCTTCGGGACTAAAACACATTTAATGTTGTCATCATAATCTTGAAACCTTCAAAGGTTTTCATCGCATGAGTGAAATTGTGATCAGGCACAGTCAGTAGTTGTTTGGCACCAATGTTGAAGTGGTTTGAGGAACTTCATTGTTTCTTCACAGTGAGCCTTTGTTCTGGATTTTTGGGGTATGTTGATGTTAATGCACACCCGTCCGATATCTCTTTTAAAGTTACAACGGAGTACTTTTGTTGTTTTTTATTTTATGTAAGAGCTGTTCATTTATTTTTTTTAAATGACCGTTAAATGTGTGCTTTTCCACTTTATATAAAAGTTTTTTTGTATGACCGTTCAAGAAGGGAAACATTCAATGCCAACCAACTGGAGTTAACTGGCATAGTTGAAGGTTAATAATTGTCTAAAAAGACACACGATGGCACCAAAGCATTAAATGAAGCTCCTCACCTCACTTGAACAAGTTGTTGATGGCGCCAGGGATTTTTGGGGTATGTTGTTAAAGCACACCCGTCCGATATCTCTTTTAAAGTTACAACGGAGTACTTTTGTTGTTTTTCATTTTATGTAAGAACTGTTCAGTTATTTTTTTAATGACCATTAAATGTGTTTTTTCCACTTTATATAAAAGTTTTTTTGTATGACCGTTCAAGAAGGGAAACATTCAATGCCAACCAACTGGAGTTAACTGGCATAGTTGAAGGTTAATAATTGTCTAAAAAGACACACGATGGCACCAAAGCATTAAATGAAGCTCCTCACCTCACTTGAACAAGTTGTTGATGGCGCCAAAGCAGTAATTTCATATCATACGAGCGAATAACGGAAAATAGGTTTCATCTCTCTCACACACACACACACACACACACACACACACACACACACACACACACATACAATCTGTGAAAAGCGAACACATTGGTTGACACTGCATACAAATATAGTGGAGATGAAAAGTCGACACACGCCTGTTCAAATGCCAAGTTTTTGTGATGTTAAAAAAATGAGACCAAGACAACCAATTTCAAAACTTTTTCCACCATCAATGTAACCTGTACAACTTAATGGGAAAAAAAAACATCATTTTTGAGAGGGAAGTAAGAATATATCACAATTTGGAGATCTGATTGAAGAACTGTCGCCATCATTGACGTCAACAATGCTGATCTTTGCTGCAAATGGTGACTCCAAACAAGGTGTTCGGCAAATGAAATTTATGCACGCACACTTGCTCTTTTGTCAGCTGCGGTCTCCATGTCACTGCATACAAATATAGTGGAGATGAAAAGTCGACACACGCCTGTTCAAATGCCAAGTTTTTGTGATGTTAAAAAAATGAGACCAAGACAACCAATTTCAAAACTTTTTCCACCATCAATGTAACCTGTACAACTTAATGGGAAAAAAAAACATCCTTTTTGAGAGGGAAGTAAGAATATATCACAATTTGGAGATCTGATTGAAACACTGGCGCCGTCATTGACGTCAACGATGCTGATCTTTGCTGCAAATGCTGACTCCAAACAAGGTGTTCGGCAAATGTAATTTATGCAAGCGCGCATGCACACTTGCTCTTTTGTCAGCTGCGGTCTCCATGTGATCGCAAAAGACAACGTTATCCTTTTTTAAGGGGAACAAAATCAGAATGAATTGAGTCCGGCCCACATGACCACGGCGAATATTCCAAATATAAATGCTTCTCTTTTTGTCATTCAAGAAAAACGGCCAAGGCAGTTTTACCCCGCTCAAGTATTTGCATCCATACAAATTAGTCATTCAAATGAAGAGACTGGAAACACAATTCACGTCAGTCAGCTGACGTTGGAAATCCTCAATTAGGAGGACAAACACTTTTCCTCAAGACCAACTAATTTGAAATACAGTAGTGTAGAGTGCTTCCGAAAAGTATTCGCACAGCCTCACTTTTTCCACATTTTGTCAAGTCCTACTCCAAAATGGATTCAATTCAGACTTCATGAGTCTCTCTGGAGGGAGCAGAAAATGGCTCCCGGTCCACGTTTGAGCTTTGAGAGGTATGCGAAGAGGTAGGGGCGAAAGCGACACAAATTAGCTGCACTACTAACTTTGTGCCATCATACTCAGTCTTATCATGAATACTGTTACTTTTTGACAAAAAAAAAAATAGACTATTCTTGAGATGAAACAAATTGTAGAAAATTAGAAAGGGCTTTGAATATAAAAAAAAATTACATAACCCATTTTGGAATCAGGCTGTCATCTAAGAATATTTGGAAAAGGTGAAGCGGCGTGAATCCTTTCCGGATGAACTGAAGCATTCACAGCATGAAACACCGTAGAGATTTTCAAAGTAAAAAAACTGCACTGAAGGCTTTTTTTTCCCAATGAGGCTGTGACATCCCAAAACATGGGAAATAAACGGCGCCACGTGCGTTCGTGTCGGAGGCTTCTCATTGGTCATCGTCGTCGCTGTCTTCGCCGTCGCTGTCCTCCAGCAGGCGCGACTGGCGGGCCAGCCTCTGCGCCACGGCCGTTACCATGGCGGCACCTTTGCCGCTGCCGTCCTCCGAGAGCAGGTAGGTCACTTCGCACTCGGGGGCCAGCCGGCGCACCGTTGCCTGGAGCTCGGCGCTGAAGCTGCGAGCAAAGCAAATAAATACAGCATTTTTGCAAAATGACGCTCGATTTGTTTTTTGCATCGTAACAGAGGATTATTTTCCCCCCACTGGCTCCCTCGAGTTCTTGATGGCTCGTTTCCAATTTCCCACTTGAAATTGGGTGTCTTACCTGGGGTGTTTCCGGTACACCGAGCCATCCACTCCCACGGTGGTTTTCAGGTGGTCCAGGCCGCGACCGACCCGGATCCGGGTGGCGATGGTGGCCAGGGCGGCGGCGCAGAGGCGAGCCGAGCGCGACGACACTGTGTCGCAGACCATACGCACCACGCGCACGTCCACCGGCTCCCACGACAGACCCAGGCCGCTCAAGATTTTCTTGCCGTTTTCCAGGCCGTCGAGCTCCCTAATGGGAGGAAAAACAAATATTTGACTCAACGAAGCATATTCCATCCGTCTAAGAGGAAAACGATCATTAAAAATATTACATTGAAAAGAAAGTTAATTAGAAAAATTGAACAAATGGGCTTCGGAATTATTTTGAAAAATACACATTTGAATTGGAAAAAAAAAGAGAAACAGAAATGAAAATAACAATTGAGTTTTTTACTTTGGAAAATAAGTCTTTTTTACTGTAAACATATATATATATATATAAACGATTGTTTTGAAATAAGACCTTAAAATATTAAAACAAAAAGATGTTTTTGTTTACCCTTGGAAGTTTCTTTTTTCAGTGGTCTTTTTGTGTGCACCGCTCTAAAATGACCACTAGGTGACAGCAAAGTCGAACGCACAGCACACCGTGGTTTTAAACGTTGCTCATACATATTTAAGTACAGATTATTTAGAGTTATTGTGTCCTGCTTAAGTGCTCCATTGAGAATGAGAAGAATTGAGGACAAGTGATGATCCAGGAAATTAAGACAACAAGGACTCACTCTTCTATATCGGAGATGTACTTGGTCTTAAATCCGTCCGGCGACAGCAGCGCCTCCGACGCCTGCCCCTTGAAGAGCAGCCCGTCCTTTGTCATCCTCAGCAGCAGGAGGCGCACAATCTCGCCCAGATACATACCGCTGATCATCTTCTCAAAGCTGCAGAACAACACCCGATTGTCCGGAGTGGGTTGTAACATCGCGTCGGATTATTCCGTCGACGTACGAACGTACGTGTGGATGCCGGGGTTGATGGACGTCTTGTCCACCTGGACGTCGAACTCGGTCTGGATGTCTCGGAGCGAACCGTTGTCGCCGAAGCCGCCCCACTCGGTGTTGATGCACATGCGCCCGTGGTCGCTCTCCACGCGCTTCACGTTCTTCATCTCCTCCATGTAGCAGGCGTTGGTCCCCGTGCCTGCAACGCGGGGGTTTAATATTTGGCCGGCCGCATTAGCTGCGGCGCCGTTGCGCATTTTACCGATGATCATGCCGATCTCGCAGCTTTGGTCCTTGTAGCCGCAGCTCATCATGGTGCCCACCGTGTCGTTGACCATGGCGATGGAGCCCACGTCGTAATCCTGAATGACGGCGGTGGATGTTGTCGATGAGTCGCGCCGCGCCCAACGACCGACGCCCGATGCAACTCACCCCTCGTCGGTGAATGGCCTCTCGCAGGAGCTTCACCACATCTTGGCCTTCCACTCCCGAGCACTGGAAGCCTTTCGTCCAGCGGATCAAGATGCTCTGCGGCCCGCACACAGAAACAAAATTGTCAAATTCATTTCAAAAGCAATTAAAATGTATTTTCTGTTTTTTCCCCCCTATTATGAGATGACATGTTATTTATAAAATGACATATTTTCTAATTAAAAGCTTGTTTTCCAAAGTAATTAAAAATCTAAAAAAAAATTATTTTCAATTGTGTGTTTTCCTTTTCAGTGTTGCTTTTAAATTTGAATTAAGAGCTACTTCTGTACAAAAATGGAAATAATCAAATGCAGATTTTTCTGAAATATAAAAATTTTAAAAGTAATTCACCCCCGCCCCTCTTTTTGCTTGAATGGTTGCTACCTTTTTCCCCATAATAATTCCACATTTTTACCCCCAAAAAATCCTATCAAACAACCTTAAGTGGATACTTCTAGTGCGCGAGTGTCTCTGAGACCTTGTCAATTTCCTTCTGATGGCAGGGGAAGGAGAAGGTGAAGCCCAGAGGGAGAATTTGGTCCTGCAGATTCAGCGACTTGAGAAATTCCCCCAGACAGGCGGCGATGTGGTCGAACAACTGCAAAGAGCCAAAGTCGCTTTTCAACAAACAGAGAGCAGGATACGTTCGTTTTGTGTGAAATGATTCATGGCGTGAAATGCACATCTTTCTCAATGTCAGATGCAGTGCAGTTGTGCACTCTCCAAAATCTAACTTCATCACAGATCCACTTCCTATTTTTATTTTTTATTTTTTTGCACCTGTTCTCCGGGTCCTCGCATCATCTCTTGCGGGATGGCGCAGATCTGACTGTCCATCTTCACCATCCTCTGCTCCTCCTCCAGCACTCGCACATGGAGCACCCGGAAGTTGGTCCCACCGAGGTCCAAAGCCAGGAAGTCGCCTTTTTCTGCCCGGGGGGGTGCAACGACTCTCATTTGTCCGGGAATACGATCAAATATTTTCATCTCGCTAAATAGCGCCGCCGCAGACGCCTTAAGAAAATGGATTCATATTTGAATGCCCTCCAGCGCTGCTCAGTGCCACTCGGAGGTTTATTTACGTGGACTTTGGAGATTGCAATGAAGTGTTAGCATGCGACTGCTTTAGGATTTGCGTTACCCGTCCCGTCTGGCGTGGCCGTGACAAAGGTGGGCAGCATCTGGACGGCGGCCCTGTGGTGCGAGTGCTTCCCCAGGCCTCGTCTCAGATCTCGCTCCAGTCGAGCGGAAACCTGCCGCAGGACCTCCAGGGACAGCGTGAACGGCTTCAGGTAAGTCTGAACCTGCGCAGGAAAGGAAAGGTGAACCAGGGTTCGACATTAACGGCGGCCCGGGATCGCTACATGAATATGTCGGGCCACATTAAGTTCATCCATCCACCCATTTTCCGATCCGCTTGACAAGGGTTACGGGGGGTGCTGGAGCCTCTCACAGCTGTCTTCGGGCAGTAGGCGGGGGACACCCTGAACTGGTTGCCAGCCCATCGCAGGGCACACAGAGACAAACAACCATCCGCGCACACACTCACACCGTGGGACAATTTAGAGTGTTCAGTCAGCCCGCCACGCATGTTTTTGGAATGTGGGAGGAAACCGAAGTACCCAGAGAAAATCCACGCAGACAGGAGAACATGCAAACTCCACACAGGAAGGCCGAAGCTGGGATCAAACCCACAACCTCTGCACTGTGAGGCCGACGCGCTAACCAGTCGACCACCGGGCCGCCTACCTTAAGTTCATTTCATTAAAAAAAAAAAAAAAAAGGGGACCCTGGTTGAGCAATACCCAGAACAAAGGCCACGTCTAAGGTACTTACAGCAGTAAACATCTAGCTGTCAATTTTTCATCAACTGCATGCTGCAATTGTTATGCAACACACCACCAAGAGTGAGAGACTGACTTAGATGAACAAAAGGAATTGAAATCATGTGTATGAATATAAAGGCGTGATGAGTACGTAACCGACTTGTAATGGCGTGCTGGAATGTTGGCATGTTTTAAAAAAAGAAAAAAAAAGGTAGGCATGCGGAGGAGGTCATCATTTGGACCGGAAAACACAAGACGCTTACGAGCACCTTGAGACCAAAGCAACAATTCCTGTTTTCCTGTCCTGCCCTTAAAGCGGTCGAAACGCCCACCATCAAACTGCAACCAGCCGTGGGCGCTCGCCAAACATGTCCTGGTTTTGACCAAAAGCCCTTCAAGCGCAATTACAGTGATATCATTTGCAATAAAAGGCTCCGAGACCAGCACACGGGCTTGTAAAAGCTCTAAAAGGAGAGCATGTGTACATTGCGACACGGAACTCCTTTCATCACATCCTGCTGCTGTTGGTGAATTTCCTTGGTCGCAGGTTGACGCCGTGGCTCAATCTCATGAATACATCCTCATTGCTGTTTGCTTTTATGCCACGAGCGGGCTTTGCGAAGCTCGAAATTGAGAAAAAAAAAATTGTCGTCATTTTCCAGTAACTTTCCAACGGGCGTGTCGGCTCAGGCCTCATTCACACTATTTGGGTTTGATTATAATCCAGCCTCCTGCTCTCGGCGGGACTTGTGACTACATGCCTTCATTCTTCCATCATGACTCAAAGGGGCTACCACGCACAGCCGAGTGCTCCGACGAGGTTACCATTGGTGAAACCACACCTCAAATGAAAACAGAAGTCTGAAAGAAGACATATTGTACATTTCCCTACAATTTAAAACGGTTCCTAGGGGGTCTTAATTATCGACCATCAAACTACTGCTTGGCTCACAAATTACAGCACATTTCACACTCTATTTCATGTCTCGCTGAAATAAACCCCGTCTCATGCAAGTGACTCCATACCCCTATCAGGCTGTATGTAACAGTGGAGAAAAAGGGGGTGGAGCCCTGTGACTACCCAACACATCCATCCACCCGTCCATCATCTGAGCCGCTTATCCTCACGAGAAGCATTTTCATTCATGGATGCAGCACTTCATCCACTACACCGCGAGTAGGCGGCGCACGGACACATCACGAACACAAATCGAGCCGCTAATCAGAAGCTGAGGCTATGAGGCTAATGCTAATCTGTGCACCGCAATGCAGCTGTGCTTACCCTTTCTCTTTGACATGATAGGACCCCCGTGGGGCTTGTGGGTATACTTTGTAGTCATTCACTTAACACTACGCTAATACAGTACACCTCCAATTGTGCATCATCACTTGAAAGTAGCTCTGGATCCTCACCCAGCCATGCACCAAGTCACGGGTGGAAAAAGTTGATGTGACTTTTTTTCCCCCCGAGGGAAAATTGGGGGGCTCTTTCTTGCAAATGAGCATGAACACACAGTCATGAAACACACGATCTGAGGGGCTATCACACTCAATTGCAATACGTCGGCCAGCGTAATTCCTGGTTGGGACGCGTATTGAACAGTGGGCTAACACGCACCTTACTGAGCGTGTCCAGAGGGATACCGTCAACGTGGATGGTGGAGATTTCGTCGCTCATTTTTGCGATTCTGTTATTCCCCTGCACAGAGAAGATTAAAACGGGGTAATTACAAACAAAATGTGTTCAAGTAGCAGCTGAATAGCGTCTCTGTTCATATTTATTTAGCAGTATTTATCCAAAGGTTCCTGATGACGGGAATATCTATGCTAATTTCCATTTGCCTGTGTATGGCGTTTTGCTTAATGTAAGTGTTAAACAAATAAGACTTACCTTAGGCAAACTAGGTGGTTTTATGTCAGCCTTAAGGTAAACTTCAAAACGCATGAAACGGGCACTTTTTTAACCACTGATTTGGAGACCAGCACCAGTGACTTTTCAAATTTTCTCAAAGTGATGTGATACGATTGTCCCCCACCTTGACATTGAGAGAGAAAAGGTGCTGAAGAATACTTTTAAAAAAAAAAAGCATTTCCTTAGTTAATGTGTCGAAAGCATATGGGAGGCGTAAAACCAGTATTTTATCAGGTCCATTATCGCGAGTGCGCGTGGAAGGTATTCCCTTGGATCATCGGGGGAATTATGAATGAAACCCAACAAACGACACCGTCAAGACGACAACATGGAACAGGGTGAGATTGAGCCCGAGGATGCTTTTTTTCCAGGCGCGGTGTACATTAAATTCTAACAAACTTGACAGGTACGTCTCCTTACCTGGATTAAAGGCACGCCCACTCTTCAAGAACACTGGAATCCCCCAAGTGGTTTTCTCTCCCACAAAATCTGTCAAGAAACACAAAACAAACAAACAAAAAAACCCTGTATAAATGAGTGATACTCAAGGAGTATTCGTGTGTATTCTAAACGCTAAAAAGACAACTATGCCGGTGACTAAAGAGCTGCAAGGCAGACTTCAAACAAGCCAAGAGCTTCGGCCAATCAGGTAGAACAAGTTTGAAGCTGTACTCGAATGGCAAGGACGAAAGTACATGACAAGTAACAATGAATGAGGCCCCACTTGCGACACGAGGAAAACACGACAGTGCTGTCATAAATGCTGAAGAACCGGTGCAATTTGACCCTAAACCACCCCTGGTGAATCAATCAAGTGTAAAAAGAAGACGACATCACTCACCTGCTGCGTCTTCTCACAACGTGAGCGAGCTCAGCCATCAACTTCCAGGCACAGGAAGACAGCAGCGGCTCGCAGCTCAACAAAAAGAAAACTCTAAACTACAGGCGAGCACATGAAGGGGGCAGCATTGACTGGGTGGAAGTGAGCCTTGTGACATTGTGAAAAAAAAACACAAGCCTGTCTCAATGTGTCACGCACACACGCACTTTGGTGAGGAAATGCAAAAGCTCCAACCTGATGAAATAAGCAAAATTAATTTAACAGGATGCACGCAAGATGAAAATACTTGCTACTTTACTCAGCATATTTGACATTAGTCTATTCATGAATCTGTGCATGGTGTAGAAAGGTATTAGAAGATTATAGCCGCCCCATGAAAAGCACAAATATCCAAAATTGTTATCGGAAACACTGAATTAATATCCAGTGTATTTTTGGTTCATCCAGAAAAAAAAGAAATAATGGGAAAAACATAGGTGAACCCAGCACTATTTGTTCCATTTGTGGTTGTCTACGGCATCTGCGATTTAACTCGCAAAATGGAAAACAAGATTTCAGCTTTCAAAATAAACTTTTTGCAGAAAAAAAATGTTCTCAGAAAGTAAAAGAGGGAAACAGCAGGATCCCGTTTATTGGAAGGGGGTTTCCGCTAAAAAAAAAAAAACAAAACCACTTCTCCCACTGCAGTTCTCAGAAGCTCCTTTATAATCAACACATTTATTGAACTAAATATCATATACCGAATGTGTTTTGACAATGTTTTATTTCCAAGAAATGAACCAATCTTTTAAGGAGTAAAAAAAAAAAAAAAAAATTCATTCACCAAAATTTGTGGGGTGGGGGGGGGACAGCTTACATTCATACATTGACCATTAATCGAATCACAGTGTTGTTCGCATTTGAATCTAAATGCCAATTTCATTATGCACTTAGTTCCAATGCACCCAAAATAAAAATAAAAAGGGGGTCGGGGGGTGTTTGCTTCAGTGCAGTACAGCTGAGGGGGAATCCGAAAGCCTCATGATGAGCATTAACAAGCACAACTAGGCCTCCTCTGCACTGGTTCACATTCAAGCGCGTTGCATAAATTCTTGGTCGGAGACTTGGGAGTCTCAAGGCCGCCGTGCTGATGTTGGCCCGCTCGGTCTTCATCAAGGCTTACTGGGCACCGCCCCCGCGCCCCGAGCCCCTCCTCTTCACCTTCGTTTGTGGCTTGGTTTCTTCGGCCGCTGCTGGCGCCTGAAGTCGACGAGACAGTCGGTGGCCTCCGAGATGGGCGTGAACGACTTAATGGGCGAGTTGCTGACCGCCAGCATGGAAACGCCCGCTTTTTCATTGTCGTCCCTCAGATCGATGACGTCGCTGAACGTGAACAAGTCAACATTTGCCCGATTGTTTTATTTTTTTTTTTTGGTGGTCATTCCCAAGAAAAATAGGCGATGCTGAAGTTTAAGCATGAATATAAGGTGTAAAAGAAATTTCAAAAATTCATTCTTATTGGTGAATTTTGTAATTTGATCATATTTAACCAATAGTTAAAAAATAAAATGTCAAAAAAAAAAAGATCTTGAACGTATAAATTTGTCAATTATTATTTCACGATTTATTTATCTAAGATAAATCAATTAACAAAATGACATAATCAAATACTGTAAAGTTGTTTATTGAATAAAACTGGACTTATTAACATTATTCAAATTTTTTAAAATTATGTATCGCTATTTTTTTTTTTTTTTAATATTTCTCGGTCAGTAAGCAATTGTAATCCCAAAACAGACATCGTGCCAGGTGCCACTAAAAAGGCGCCTTAAACTACCAAAGCATTGAGCCCATCTAAGCCTTTGAAGGCCATTCAGACTGTCAGTAGCTGAGCTAACTGGCGACCAGTCAGGGTCGTATTCGCCGAGAAGGAGTCGGAGAGGTGATTGACAGCTTACCCTTGCTGGAGTCTGCACCTGGACGGCCCGGCTCCTGCGCACGAGGACATGGACAAGTTCACCAACTCTTCTCGGGATCAATGTCAGCTGTTTTTCTAATTTTGCAGCTTTGACCTGAGCGGATGGGGCGACGGTCGCGCGGGGCTCACCTGCATGCCTGCTCTCTACATGCTCCAGAGCCGCCAACAGATTCCCTTTCTGGACGTTTAAAAAAAATGAAATAAAAATATTCAACATTTGGCTAAGCGCACTAAATATGCAAACATTTTTTTTTTTTTTAGAATATTCAGGCATGTTGGTGAGTCCTACCCCGGGTGTTTTGGCCGCCCGCCGCTGGATGCAGAGATCGGTGTGCTCGCTGTAGTCGCAGAGGGCCACAACCTTTTGGCAGATGTAACATTTCTCCTGGATTCTGTTTTTGGTTTTTTTTTTTTGGATGATATTAGCCCAACAATAGTGCCTTCCATTTCTAAACTTTTTGCAACGTGTTCGGGAGCTGCCGGGCAACGTACGTGTCAGAGGAGGCGGCGTCGCCCTCTTCCTCTGCTGCCCACCTTTTTCGCTTCCTTTTTGGCTTCAAGAACACTGCTACAGTGTTTCAAGTTGGAGGGGGAGGAGAAACACTGACATCAAGTGGTCAAATAGCCCAAACGGGCACGATGAATTTTGGGACGTCTTCCTCCAACCTTGTGAACGTTCATCCGCAAGCCTGAGGTCGTCCATGGCCGAGGTCTCCACCTCGCCGTTGCAGTAGGCCGCATGCCTCTCGATTCTGCCGGCGGGGAAAGTTCCCTGGCAAATGGGACACTCCACGGCAGCTTCGAAGCCGGCGGGCTCCGGCTCAGGCGAACGCGACCTTCCGAGCTCGCTCTCTTCCTCCTCATTCGTCGGGGCGGGGTTTCTCCCCACGTCGCTGGCGGCGAGGGGGGTTGTCTGAGCCTCTCCGTTAGCCGAGACTGCAATCAAGTTAAAGACACCTTTTTCAGCATGAAAGCATTGCCACGATTGATCAAAGAATAGGGTTTGAACTGCATATCAAAATTGGGAGGTCAGTCGAGTAATTTCTAATTCCATATGCTGCCTTGAAATTGTTTATTGCCACTTATAGTTCAGGTTTACTCTCAAACGAAACAAAAGTGTGTTAGCTTAATGCCAACACACAATCCGCAACGGCTTGGGAAGGCTAATGAAACTAGCATTGAGGCCTGTGGTTTTGTAACCATTAATGCAACTGAACAAAAACGGTGTAGCAACTCATGGAAACTCCTAGAAGAAAAGTTGCTTAAAGCAACTTCAGGAAATATCCTTTGTGTATTTGGAGAAAAAAAATGTCACATCTTTTATGACGACACATGGAAAGTCTTCTCATGTGCATCATCTCCTTTAATGTGCCTCACCGTCCACCGACTTCTCCTCTTCCGCCACTTGATCGTCATCTCTTGCCGCAGGTTCAGGAAACTCCGGACTCCTGGCCTACAGAGGAAGGTGGCCGAATGCAAGATGGTGACGTCACCTTTGTCAAATCAAGTTCCATTGCAAAAGCGGCAATCACCTTCGATAGATCCATGCGATCGTCCTCACTCATTTGGGTCTCTGTGGGTGAACACAAGTTAAGAGTGAACTCTGAGAGAAGCAAAATGTACTTGAGCGGGATTTACTTGAAACACGGGAGCATAAATTCATCCTTAAAGCCGTGCGTGAAGTACCCGGACACATGACACAGACGTCAATGTCTGTCTGAGCAGTCTCTTCCGCCATCTCCTCTTGCTCCTTCTGATCCTCCTCTTTCTTCTTTTCCTCGTCCTCCTCTTCCTCCGCCTCCGTCTCCAACAGAAGGTTGTCTTCCTCCTGATCGCTAAGCTTTGCGTCTTTGCGTCTGAGGCCACGCCTACAGCAAGGAAATGGAAATTACTTTTGGGTAAGTCAAACGCAAAGCCCAAGCCCAACTATTTCCTGTGCCTTTAAAAGTCGAAAGATGCAGGCAGGTTTTTACCTCCGGGGAAGTTTTGCGTGGGAAGAGTCAGATAATGGGGATTTCTGGAACAAAAATCAATGAAAAAAAATATATAACTTGAATCAGGTTCGATCTGTTTGCAGCTTTCGTCAGCGATATAACAAGAAAAAATTCTACCGCAAAATTTGCCCAAAACAATCATTTGAGAAAATTAAGATTTAAAATGTCCTTAAGATTCCAAAAGATGGCAGCAAAGCCCCTAAGCTAATGTCAGCATAGTTCCTTATCACCAAGATGCCACAAAAAAATAATAATCAGCAGGGCTAACAACAACCTAAAATTTACTTGTGAAGCTTGCAGGCAAACCGTTTACTCTTTAGTTTAGCTTTTAGTTTACGTTAGAATATTCTACTCATTAAAACCTACCTGAACAGTTATTAAAGGTTTTATGGTGGCTGTAGTTTGAGCTTGGAATGAATTAATACATTTCCCGTTATTTCCTATGCGAAATGTTGTTTTGGAAAGAGAACATCGAGTCTTAAAATGGCTCCACATGGCTTAAAATGGCTTAAAATGGCTTTGATTTTGGGGGGCTCCACATCAGTGTCTTTCTCGGGCCAGTAACTATTGTGTGTGATCATCAATGCTAATTGCGCTAATCTTGGGACACCTCCAATTGTGGCACGATGGCGTCCCCCCACTCGGCCTTCCTCAACAGACACCTCTGAGCCTCCTTCAGACTCTTCTCGTACAACTCCATCTGGGCCACGATCACCTGAAAGCGACATGACAACGTTGGGAGAACTGCTCCGCTCAGCCCAAGTCGCCCGCGGTAACTACCTGCGAAAAAAATAAAATTTACTTGTGAAGCTTGCAGGCAAACCGTTTACTCTTTAGTTTAGCTTTTAGTTTACGTTAGAATATTCTACTCATTAAAACCTACCTGAACAGTTATTAAAGGTTTTATGATGGCTGTAGTTTAGAGCTTGGAATGAATGAAGACATTTCCCATTATTTCCTATGGGAAATTTTGTTTTGGAAAGAGAACAACGAGTCTTAAAATGGCTCGCGTTTGATTTTGGTGGCTCCACATCAGTGTGTTTCTCGGGCCAGTAACTATTGTGTGTGATCATCAATGCTAATTGCGCTAATCTTGGGACACCTCCAATTGTGGCACGATGGCGTCCCCCCACTCGGCCTTCCTCAACAGACACCTCTGAGCCTCCTTCAGACTCTTCTCGTACAACTCCATCTGGGCCACGATCACCTGAAAGCGACATGACAACGTTGGGAGAACTGCTCCGCTCAGCCCAAGTCGCCGGCGGTGACTACCTGTGTGTACGTGTCTGCATCCAGACCACGTGGACAGAAGGGGACCCCCCAGTAGTAGTGAACCGAAGATGGGGTGGGGACAGACTGCTGGGTGTTCACACTGGAAACACATTCAGACATGATCGTTTAACGGGAGGTCTTGCCACATGTTGTGTTGGTTGAAGCAAGGCACACATAAACCCAAAATTGGGCCAAATGTGATTTTTTTTTTCCCCTTCCCGTTCTTTTAAAGTCAACAAAGGCCTGGTTGTAAATGTTAGAGCTCGGTACACACATACTGATATCGCCTAATCAAACTGATTCGGTGTCTCTGAAAGATTATCCTGACTGATCGTCCGTCCTGTGGTGTGTCCGTTTGATCATAGCGTAATCATGATTCCTAAAAGTTAAAACTGTCGCGTTATTTGCCAAGCATCTTTTTATTTCTTCTTCTGCTGAAACTTTCAGTCAGTCCTGCCGCTCACAGGTCAGTCTTGGTACTGCGACAGAAATCGTTGTACTGTTTTGGTATTTTGGTCACCTGAAGTACACCACACACTATAAATGCATTGCAATGTGTTTTTTTTTTTTTCGTCTGAAGATGCCAGAAATTGGCACATGTGAAGCAAGCAACACACGTCTTGTTCGTTTGTACCTGCAGCTCGAGCTGTTTGTCTCCAGAGCCGCTTCGGTCACCTGGTTCAAATGGGCTGCCTGTGCTTCGGCCTGTTCAAAGCGCTTTTCGTCCGGGTAGACTGGACTGGGTGAGCTCACCAGCTGCAATACGATGAAAGGAGATTTAGTCACAGCCCAAAAGTGGTATAAATTGAGGCACTGAAATTGTTTCGGGAATATTTGGCCAAAGACCCGATGAGAAGGTCATCAAAATAGGGAGACCTGGAATTTACCAAAAAATTGCTGTTTCAAAACCAAAATGGCTGACTTCAAAGTTCAATTTCAGGTATGGGTGATTGATACTTTTTTGTCTGTCCTTCTTGTTACCCCAACTTGTTCTTGATCAGTAAAAGTCATGTTGGGGACTGATTTTTTTTAACAAACAAAATATTTGGGCATGTTCCGATACGGCGCAACAGACCGTCTGATCGGCGTCTTCGTCGGACCAGCGAAGCGTCGTGTCGCTCGTCAGCTCCGTTTCAGATGAGTCGTCTGCAACACCGAGAAACGGGTGCCGGTCCACGCTGGTCGATTGGGCATCTTGGGCGTGCTTCCCATCTGTCCCCGATAAGACGAGACTACTTTTTGACAGTGTCGAGTTCTCCGAGGAAGCAAGTTTCTTGGATGGTGCCGGGCTCCTTGGGAATACCGGGCTCATGGGGGGGCAGGAAGAAGGCATCGCAGGCGGGCTTGAGCTCTCCTGAGAAGAGAAGATGAACTCCGAGTTTGGTCCGTCCGGGCTGCTTGCTTTGCCGTCCAGAAAACCGTCGCATCGAGATTCATCTCCAAACGCCGGGCTTTTGAGATACTTGGCGCATTCGTCTCCCGTGTCCGACTCGGAGAGGAGGGGACTTTTGCGGCGTGCCGGTGAAGGCGCGCTCTCGGCCAAGAGCTGCGAACAAAGCGCGTAGCCGGGGGTCTTGTAGCTCTCCGGCGTTTTTTGGCTCAGCTGGGGGGACGTCACTTGGGTTTTGCGACCGCTCACGGCGAAGACGGGGGATTTAGGGAGCGGCCGGTCGTCGATGTGTGTGGAATCGCAGCTCTGGTAAAATATTTAAAAAAATGCATGTCGATGTATGACGAATGCAATTTGACGAATGGATTTTGGAATAGAACACAATGTCACTGTGCGTTACCTGTGGCGAGTCCAAAAATTCAAGCGCTGACTCGGAGCTACTGGCCAATGCCTGAGTGCAGATGTCGGGGCTTTGCGACAAGCCCGCCACAGGACTCTCCTTCCTTTTCCACATTTGACCTCGCTGGGTTCCACCGTTCCCGTCCACCTCTACAATTACAACAGCACACGCATAAGCAGTCAAGAGCCGAGTGGAACCTGCGGTACTGTCTCTTTTGTGCTTTATTCCACGACGGGTTTTACGATCAGTTGTTGACCAGAGAAAACAAGTGCAAAGGGCCCTCCACTTATGACAAGAGTCTCTTCCATGTTATATTTCAGATCAATGCAAGCAGAGATGCTGTGTTAGAGGTTTTCACACGTGACTCACCTCTGGCCAGGCTCGTGCAGACGCTCTCCGATGCTGTCAGATTGTTGCGTAACTCCGCCATGCCGTTCGGGTATGAGCGACCGCGTTGAGAGAAGGTGGTGTCTGCTTCGGTCAGCAAGCTCTGACTCTGAGAGAGCTCTCGTCTCTGGCTGAACATCTAGGAGGGTTTAAAAAAAAAAAAAACAACAACTCTTAACAAAAAACTTCTGTACCGTTACATTTAAAGTCCTCCTAGCAGCTTTTTTTTCACTCTACTCACACTCTCTTTGATGGCTTTCATCAGAGCAGCGTCCTCCTGCTGTGCGCCGACGTTGGCTTCCTGCGCGCTCAGATGCAGGGCCATGGCCATCATCTCCTCTTCTGTCATCTCTGAGGTAGAAACTGAGACAGAAAGAGGAGTGATTTTTCCGGCCCATATAATTTCACACCAACAAAAGCAGTACAGTTTATCGACTAGTGCACTGAATTGTCTTACTAGTGAGGACAAAGGGTACTAAGATGGACATCAATGACATCCACAGCTCAAATGGCTTGCTGTACGCGTTTTATCACTGAGCTGAGACGTTCCCTACCTTTACACCTGGCTTTACATTTCCTCTCTCGCCACCGCTTTTCTCTATCTGACAAGGACGGCGGCAGAAGTGAGGTGGAGCACTCATCCTGAGAGATCAAATACACACTGCTGTTAAGGGGGGGGGCATCAAACGTTGCGCTACAAACATGATTCGTCTTGTACAACAGATATAAAAGGGCTTAAAAGTACAGAGTGTGAGAGTACTTTCGACTCGTTACCTGTTGCTCGTCATCGGTGACAGCGTCATCCTCCTGTGAGTCTTGGTCCAACGACTGGCTTTCAGGGGGTCTGTCCCTGTTGCTTTGCTTCTTCTGCGGCATCTTGCTCGGCCGCACCATTCCTTTTAACACACACAGAACATAATTTCTGGGGTCACATTCGATCAGGTCATGGTCTTAAATCAACATTTTTTTTAACTGTAATGCATTCCTGCTTTTTCCACCATGGTCTTAAATCAACATTTTTTTTTAACTGTAATGCATTCCTGCTTTTTCCACTGCGGTCTAACGACTGTCGTTTACTTGGTCACACAAAGCATTTCAGTTTTTGAATTATATTTTTATTTGAATTTTTTTCTTGTATTAACCGTTGAATACAAAATGTTGTTCCTGCCATTCATATACACCTCTGGAAAACAAAGATCAAAGAGATCACTACAAATGTATCAAGTTGCTTTGCAATGTACGAGTCCTCTGGGTGAAAATGCAACAAATTACTCACTTCTCAAGGTTTCCACTAAAAACTATGGAAGCATTCCCATAACAGTCGTGGTCAATGTTTTCATTGTTATGTATCATAAATGTTCCGATTCTGAAATGTGTAGCATGGAATGAGAAACTCACTTCAAGGCACTCTAGTGTGAATTTGACGTGACAAAACAGAACGACACGAACATGGCGGGACACGAACCACACGTTTTGAATGGACAAACTAGACGAATTTAGGGCTTTTAAATTGTCGATTTGCGACAATGTGTAGTGTTATTCGTTTAGTTTTACGAAGGAAGAAACACAGTCGGTGAGGAAAATGAGTTTAAAGGAACTCACGTCGTTTCCCCTCACTTTCGCGGCGCCATGTTTGTTTCGGTCTGCGTGGTGACGTAACGGCTACGTAACTGGCGTCATTGACGATACCTTCAGAGGCTGTAACGGAAAGAACAACTTTCAGTGCCCAGGTTTTGTTTTTGGGCTGTGCAGCCGTGGATGTTCAGTGTTTCCAAACGGTAAATTAGCGACCATATGTAGTGTTCCTTCGTCAATCTGGCGAAGGTGAAATCCCAGCAAGTTAAGCAATTTATTTTAGGAGGATTCAAAATGGGGAGTTTTCCATGATTTGCACGGTGATCACGTGAGGAAAATGTCACGCAGTGCGTACGTGATGATGTCTTCAAAGACTCAGGAAAAAAACAAGTCACCTCGCCAGATTTGTTTTGTCCTGACGACTGTTGTGTGACGATGTCTTCAAAGACTGTCAGGAGGAAAAACACCATAGCACACAAAAAAATAACAACAAAATAAGAACAATAAAGCTGAGGCGATAACACGTAAAAACGTGCGAAGATTTATAAAAATGTGTTGCATAGTGATACTGTATTTGTCTGTTTCCTACTTTGTTAAACCATTGTTGATTATTGTGACAACCCATTACTATGATCAGTGTTATCACACAGGTTTATTAATAATTTTAAAAAGTTTATAGGAGCATACCAAGGTCAGCGGCTGAATTTGTTCAGGAGGCTCTTTAGTGTCCCTTTTTCCTGCGGTCTCTTAACACCCACGTAAACTTCAATGACACCTCTGCAAACCTTCTGCAGTGTTTGCAAAAACACAATGCCTACATGATTTATTATTTTTACAAGTCAAAGATTTGGTCCGATAATGAGTTACATTTTGTTTTTGTCCTCACTTCACCAAGTTGTCATCATTCTTGGGTGCTGTGTGTCACTCCCAAACTCCCACTGGTAAGCCTCAGCACTACAAGACGTTTACTCTTGAACTAGGGGCCTATTCTGTTTTTTTTATTTCTTTGACAGTATACTACTGTAATACAAATGTTTTTTGCAAGTGTGTTTGCTTAGTTCCTTCGTTGTTGGGGGAAATTTCCACCAAGGTGTTATCTGGATTACTGTATTATACATTTTATTTCAGTTCATTGGTCAATTCTTGGCAAATATATTCCTGGTTAATTTTACAAAGACGAGGACAAACCACTTTGATAATATGCCATTTTATGATGTAATAAAGCCGGCTCACACAGAAAACACAACAGCCTAAATAATTGATTAGGTTTCCAGCAGCAGCCATAGAGAGACACCCCTTCCTTCTCACCGCAAATCAGCGTCAACACATTGAGAAGATAATACACTTGTACATGCACATCCTGTATGAAAATACACTTGTGACAAATAAAGTTAAACATGGCACCGTGCTTACATGAGTATTTATTGTTATTGAATGCAATAGAGCGCGCCAAGTTTGAACGTGTCTCAGGTGTTGGCAGGAGGAAAGAATGATGCTCTCAGGACTTTGTGTCAATGACATCAGTGTTTCTTGTTTTTCTGCCTTCAATTAAGTGCTTGGCTACCTGGCTTTCCTCTGGTGTACTTGTGACCGGCCACCTTGTTTTTCATCTATCTCCGACTTTGTCCCCAAAAGGCTCATTTAGACTCATTAATTATTCAAAATGTTTTTTTGACCAAATATTGACTTGATTAATGAGTCCTGTGGGTGTTACGTTTGCGGGTCTGCGGGGACACCAGTTGAAAAAGAACAAAGAAAAAGTATCTGCCCAAACTTTAATCCCAATCAAAGAATTGAGACGGAGCAGAGTAGAATATTGATAACAGATTTAAGGTGGAGTAATAACAGACAGTGAAGCAAGGTCCTGCGCCACAATCTACTTTATTATTCAGGCAGTGACGTCGATTCGTGATGTTTCTTACAGTGAAGGACAGAACAGAATACATGCATGGGATTCGAACACCTTTAAAACACCCAAACGAACATCAGGGCAGCAGAAATGAAGCATGCAAGGTGTGACGAGTGACCGCATCGAGATCAACGTTGCCCTCAGAAAAGCATTGACATCAATAATTCAGCTGAGTCCAGAAACAACAACAACAACAACAACAACAAAAATGCCGATTCCGATTCTCTCGGAAACCTGACATCAATGATTCAGCTGAGTCCAGAAACAACAACAAAAACAACAAAAATGCCGATTCCGATTCTCTCGGAAACACACATTAAAAAAAAATAAAACATACATCGAAAGTTTCTATTTTTTAGCTTAGCTTTGTCGCGGCGCCATCAAAGCTGTGCTTGCAACACACAATTTCGACGACAGTATGGCAAGACGTTAAAGCATTTGGTCAATGTACTGCACTTGTGCGCTCAACAATTAACGACTAAATGTTGAAACGGTTTTACCATTGTGAACGCTCATCGTCAACTCGGAGTGTACTGCTCCAAGCCAACTTGAAACGCAAAACGCCTCCAAGCCAACAGGGGGCGGAAAAGAACGACACAGGAAGACGGTTCGATAAGTGACATTAAACAAAATGTCAATAAGAAAGAAAAATCGCAAAACTTTATCATGATTCATGAATGTGACATCACGTCTAATTTAATAAAATGGCACAATGCTTGAATGAATATTACATCTTTTATTCTAACCTTACTCCCTGGATATAATTTTAAGTGCAGGTCAATATAACAATATTCATCTACCTCAGCCTTTTTTTTTTTTTGCATGTCTGCTGTGACGTATAAAAATACTCGTGGGGGACAACTGCTTTCGTCGCAACAGGCCAGGACAAGCGAATGGGGAAAAACAGTGATATAAAAGCAGATAATGAATCAACTAACATAAAAAAATACATAATCTAACTTCAGTCTTATGAGCCTTCAAGCAAGTGATTCTTGCACATTTTCCACAGCATGTGATGATGATTTCATTCAAAATTTTCACAAAGTGCTTGCTTGCTTGTTGAGCTCATCATGTACAGTTCGATTGTCCTCAAAAATCACCTTGAAGCCAAAGCTGCCATTTGTAGGACCTTACAGCGCTGAAACCTTGGATTGGGAATTTCTTTCAGTTGTGAGCGCGGTCCATAGTGGTTTTCACGTCTGCCTCACAGTTTGAGAGGTTCTGGGTTTGAATCTCCCCGTGCTTCGCGTGGGGGTCGCTCGGCTTGCTCTTGTATTTTAAAAACATGCACGTTTGGTTCATTCAAGTCTCTAAATTGCCAATTACTGTGAATGTGAGTGTGAAAGGGAGTTAAGCGACAAGCGCACTGATCGCCCAGTAAGTGTGTACAGTATTTCCAGCACCTCTTCCGAGGTTTCTATCTTTATTACCGAAAATCCCTGTGATACAAAAGTAGGGCTTTGGCACCATCTGGTGGCATCTTTATGCCAAGGAGTAATGTGGGGGACGGGGGGATTATGCTCGTCACACCCCCTTGTCCTGCCCCTGGTCATCAGTAGTATAAGCGGCAGCCAGTCTAAAATAGGGTAAATTCAGTGAGTGTGTAAAGATTTTGATGGTATTTTGAGCAAAGTACATCTTTTTTATGCCTAGGAAATGTTTGTGAGCTTCTCCCACCACCAACGTAATTCTGTGTGATTATTTAAACAAGCAATTTGAGATGCAATTAATGCCCATTTAAAAATAAAACGTCAAGTTTTATAAATACTGTACATTCATTCTCCCCCAAATGATCTATTATCAAGTCTGCTTCAACCAGACATATCAAGCTGCTCTTTATGCAGTTTTTCCCTGCTGATGATGTGTTGATTTGGCACGAAGTCTTTTTTCTTTTTATCTTTTTGCAAAAGTGTCATGAACACTGCCAGGAAGGAAAATTTGCAGTTCAGGAAATGGTCCAAAATGGAAACTTTCCATGGGAATGAACAGGATTTTTTTTAGTATCACATAAATAGAAACATTCGTTTCGTTATAAGTGGGGATTCATGCAAAATAGGCCGCTCTCCTTGCCCACATGTGAGGGCATTACAGTACCCGAATTGCTCCGTAATATCGGTTTCACTTTGTATTTTTACTACCTTTTTTTTTTTAAATTCCCATAAATTCCTGATAATTCCAATTGAAAGTCGCAAACCACGCACAGGCCCAAGCATTGATATTGCTAACCAGCCCATGCCTATTTCCAACTTTGAAAATTCTTGAAATTTCGCAACGCTATTGAGGATAGACTCATCGGTTGAGCGGGCACCTCTATGACATGAGACCGGACTCCAGCACGTGTTCCAATTCGCCCGACATGCACGGCGGGTTAACCTGCGTGTGTAGTGTTACAGTTGAGGCTGCTGTACCCGGGCAGCGTGACGCGCCCGCGGTTGAAAATGTCATCGTCGGACCCCTGGTTCATACGCTTCACCAGGTTCTTCTCGTAGAGCAACGGGTGGTAGGCGCCCAGCGTGCAGGCGTCGTCGTGGAACTGCTGATAGTAGTGGCACAGCGCCGTGTTGCGGCGGGACGGCAGGAATTCGTATACGTGCACCACATCGCATAGGGACATCATCAGCACCGTACCTGAACGGAGGAAAGAGAATGAAAAAAAAAAAACGCTTGGTAAAAGATGGGCGTGAATTTTAAAATTTAGAATTTTCAACAAAGCCCATCGAGTCGTGCCTCAAGTTAAAGGCCATCGTGTAATGAGTTTAATATCTCCACTATATGATGACACAATTCCCCCCACCCCCCCAAAAAAAAAAAAAATTACAGTAATTTTGAGGGATCATCCGTGAACCCCACTCAAATCAAATCCCATTACCCAGCATGCCAGAGGAGGGCGGGTTCTTCTGGATGGGCTCCGGCATGTTGTCTTGTATTTGCCGCCACACCTGCCAGAAGAAGCGCGGGTGAAGGATGAAAAAGGGCTGCTGGGGGTGCAGCCGCCTGTAGCGCTGGTACTGGCTGAAGATGGGGTAGTCGGTGCGGTTGAGCCACTGCAAAATGGACCGTGTCAGCAAAACTGCGCCGTGCTTAACGTTTAGTATTTAATGTGGGCACACTAACACCTGCGTGAGGTTCGCGGAATAGGGAGCAGGGTCCCAGGCCACCAATACACCCGAGCTGTACAGCGAGCTGGACAGGAAATGGTGGTCGTCGGACGCCATCACCTGCAAGACATCCATCCAGGTTATCGTCTAAAAACGCAAAGTTGGGAACTGCTGTCGGGGCTGCGGCTTTACTTGCGAGTTGATGAGGCGGATGGTGGTTTTGGAACCCACGTCCTTCTCGTAGCCGTCGGTTGGGGCGCTGTTGAAGCGCAGCACGGCATCGTGGGAGTCTGTCATTGAACGTGACCAAGAATGGGGGTGGGAAAGAAAAAAAAAAGGTTAGAAACAGGAAACTGGGCAGGAGTAACAAACGACACTGAAAAATTAAACTAAAGGAAAAAAAATGAGGAATGTTCAAGAGAAATTTTTGAAAAATAAAAAAGCTGAAAAAGAACAAAACAGGAAAAAGTAAAATAGAGAAAAGAGAGAAATTAAAAGGGAATAAGAGAAAAAATGATAAAGGCCAAAAAAGTAGAAAAAAAAGAAAAACAGCAATCGGGGAAAGAAAAAAGGAATATAGAAGAGACAAAGAGAAGCGAGAAAACAAAGGAGAAAATGAGAAAAAAAAGAAAAAGGAGAAAAGGAAGAAAGGAAAAAGGAAAAACACACACAAACAAAAAAAACCCAAATAGCAAATGAAAGGACACGTTGAAGCGCTTTGGAGTGCGGACAGCCGGCTTTGTCCCACCGATCTCTTTGCCGAGGCCGGCGTCCCGCAGCGAGCCGGCGGACGACACCACGGCGCAGCTCTTGAACGGCCCCACGTCGGAGGCGAGCGGCTTGGGCGGCAGCTGCGAGGCCCACGGCAACGAGGAGAAAGGCGGCAGGTCGGCCGTCAGCGTGGACAGCGCCACCTTCTGGTACAGCTGGCACAAGAGCTCCGGCCCGCTCAGCACCCTCCTGCGGGGCGAGCCCGGCGCATCGGGGAGCTTCACCTCGTACTTGTTCATCGCCTGGAGGGAACAAATGGGAGCAGGTTGGCTCCTAATTTCAGTTTTCATGATTGTCTTAACTTATCACAACGTGTGTAAAACTGACAAGTGTCTGTCGGGACAAAAGGTGTGGATGAGGGGTGAAAAAAAATTGTGAAATAAAAGAATGATTCTTCTGCCGTTGTGTCCCCGTTTTTGTCGTGGTCCTCACCTGGTAGTTGTTGAACACCTTCTTCAGTCTCCTCCCCAACATGCTACTGGACATGTGCTCGTTCCACACCTTTCCCAGAAGGCCGTTGGACGCTAAGCCGCCTTTGTCGCTCAGCTGGCCCCGCCGGCGGCCCCCGAAGACCGTGTCCAGCGCCCTCACGAGGGGCCGCGGCAGCACTCTGGCAAAGAAACCCCGGTCCTCCTTGGACTTTGGCTTGGCGGGTTGGTGCTCGCGGGTGTGGTTGGGCGAGGATAGCACGGGGATGGGGAGGCGGGGGTCACCGGGGACCACGCCGGGGAGCTTCTGGGGGTCCATGTACGCGAGCTTGGAGCCGCCTCGAAGCACCTGATGAGGAGGTCGCATGTTAAATTTACAAATCGGGAGCTATATTTTTTGAAAAGTGACTTTTTTTGGGGGGGGGGGCACAAAAGCTGACGATCGAGCTCGAGCAATGACGAAAGCGAATCGGCGAACACGGTGACACGTACCTTAACGACAGCGCGCGTGCGAGGCTGGGCCCGGGTGCGCGCCCGCACGCCGAAGATGGCGTCAGTGACAGTTACGCTGTTTTCGGCGCAAAGGGCGTACAGCAGCGTCATGGCGATGCCGAAGAAGGCCATGCACAGGGCGCCGCGGCGGGCACGCCGACGTAGACGCCACAGCAGGCTCACGCGGTCCATCGCTGCCCCGGGGATCTAAAAAAAAAAAAAAAAAAAAAAAAGAAAAATAATCATAATCCTAAAAAAATATATATATATTCACATATATCGGGATGTCTGTTCAGACACAAAATATTGAAGCAACTTTCAAACTTTCAGACATTTGAGCTCATGATCATGACATTGGAGACTTTGATTCTCTCATCTTTCAGCTCGAGCCGCTTCAATCAACAAGACGTGCGAAGGAATAGTTGTTACGGTTTTAAAACATTTCTGATACCTCGCCCTGGCTCAGTATCAAATTTAGAATAGGATCGTTGGAGATAGGCACTCAGAAATGAAACACAAGAGACAAATCTGCTACTAACAAATTGCACATTTATTAGCCCCACAGAATATGTCACACAAGCAAATATCAGTGTATCAAGCTCTTAGAATAGTATCCAGCCCTTACCGTGTGTCAATAGGATGGAGAGCCAACACCCCAGGTAGAGCGAGCTTCAATACTGGCTGGGCGTCCGTACTCAACCCGCAGCAGACTCTACCAAGAGTATCCAAAGTTCTCCTTTTATACTCTTAACAAATGGCTTTGTTCAACATCATAGAGCCTGTTACGTTCCAGTCCTTCACACGCCATCTGATGTCTTTTCTGACATAAACATCTTTTTATGACATTGCTGGTTATACAAAGCTATTGCGAAACATCTTTAAACACGGAAAAACAACACAATATAATTATTCTTACTTCACGGTTGTATTATTGTCCAGGTTTTGTGTTCAGTGTTTCCGATGGATGACGGACGGACAGATGAATGAAAAGACAGTTGCATGATAGAGAGATGGCGGGAGAGCTAGCTAGCTAGCTAGAGATATAGTCATCCATCCATATATCCATTTTCCGATCAGCTTCTCCTCACAAGGGTCGCAGGGCGTGCTGGTGCCTATGCCAGCCGTCTTCGGGCAAAAAGCGGGATACTCTGAACCGGTTGCCAGCCAATCGCAGGGCACACAGAGACGAACAACCATCCGCGCTTACAATGGCACCGAGGGATAATTTCGAGCGTTCCATTAACCCGCCATGCATTTTTTTGGAATGTGGGAGGAAACCGGAATACCCGGAGAAAACCCACACAGGCACGGGGAGAACATGCAAACTCCACACAGGAGAGCCCCAGCCGGAATCGAACCCTGCACCCCTGCACTGTGAGGCGGACGTGCGAAGCCGTCAAACACCGGGCCGCCCTAGTCATATATAATCGAATTTAATTACGATAAATAGATAGATCGAAATTTCACAACACAAACACACGCAACAAAGACGTGCATTGCTCATTCTTAAATTCCAGATGTCTTACGAAACCGCTCGCCGTGGCTCACTCATAAAGAAGAAAAGAGTCAGTGAGAAAGAGCTTGCCTCAACTGCCCTGAGGGCAGTTGAGGGGGAAAGAGAAAAGATGAGCAACTGTACAAAACAAGGAAGGAAAGTGAGGCGTACACGCGCTCAATACAGCAGAGAGGAAAATAAAAGCGACGAGGGAAATCGGAGAGGGGGGGCCTTCCGTTACTTGACCTGGTTGCCATTTACACGTATTGTGAATCCCGATAATGATTGACGCTTGGCTTGGATCTTACTCAAAATGAAATAAAAAAATCTCGTGTCAGATAAGGACCAAGGGAGGAGATTATCTCCTTTTTTTTACGGCTGACCTCGGGAGAATTTAATGCAAAAAAAAAAAAAAAAAAGCAAAGAGGCCTTTCAGCAGGCTGCTGCTCCATTTTGCTCGGGTTGGAGTGTCCTATTTATCTTTTCCTGTGTGGAGGTCATTTATAATGCTGTGGATTAATGAAGTACCTGCTGGTCCCACAGACACTAATCCGCAGTCAGTGAAGCGGGTTTTGGATATATTTTCTAGTTACAGCGGAACCTCTACTTACAAACGTCTCTTCATATGAAATGTTCAAGTTACAACACGCCTCAACAGGGAAATATTGCCTCTTGTTACGAAAGACATTTCAAGACACGAAAGGTAAAAATACAGTCTGGGCTTCTACTCGCAGCTCCGAGTTTCCTGAACGCAACATACTCATAGCTGCTCTGCCATTGGCTACTACCGAGCATCATCCTGGCATCCCATTGGCTAAGAGGAACCTGGACCGTATGTGCCGATGCGGCGTCCTAGTCATTCGCTCCTCGGGCCACGAGGCGTTCCGATAGTTTTACGTCAATGTGAATCACCCTCAGAAAAGGTGTTGACCGGTCGGGCGATCGCTCACTGTGCTGATGTTTGCCGTGGACATTTTCGAAGGATTCTTAAAAGACGACTAAAAAAAAAGCAAACGTCCTTGGATCAGTTCTTGACAAAACGCCAGGCTAAAACCACTTCTCAGAGAGAACATGAATTAAAGAGGGCAAAAAACGATGAGGCCGCAGGCACAACTCTCATTTATTGTGCAATAATCTAATTGTAACATGTATTTGGTACATATTTGGATGCATTTTTATGCTTTAGAAAACATTTCGGTCTGAATTTCGGGGGGGCTTGAAACGGATTAGGGCATTTACATGGAAAACATGTCTCTACTTATAAAATGTTCTAGTTAAGAAATGTCTTCCAGAACATAAACCAGATATGATTTATTGTTTTTTTTTTTTACAGCAGCATTTATTGCACATTCAAATCAGCACAAAAGCAGAGTGCAGCGCCATGAAGCTCATTTGCTGGGAAATACCCCCAGTTTCTGAATAAAACAAAAACGTGTCTGTCTATGTGGTTGCGTAACCGACATGATCATCTTCTTGAACAGTTGGGCAACCGCCCGAGGATGTGGTGACAGATGGCAATGTCACTCCGTATCTGCGTAAAGATATCGACCTGAATCCCTGTGTTCTCTTTCCCGAGCTAAATGCCGGTCATATGACCCAACTGTAATAAAGGCGGCAAATGTGAATGGACGTTTATCTCCGAGTAGCCACAAAACAAATATCGTAAAGAGAGAGTGATAAATGCCATTCATAAAAGCTGGAGGCATTCATGTTGGATCAATGCACAGGTGTTGGTTTTGAGGTTGTACTTTAACTAAAAGCATCACTGCAGGAAGCTGCAAAAAGAATTCCCCATCGAGATTAAGGTAGACTATCATTGCTTACTTAAAAAATAAAAAAGAAAATTGCATATTTTGTCCAAAAGATGGTTACAATTACAATGAACAATAACAATATATAAATATCTGAAACTCTATGGTTAAGTATTGTAAAAAATGTATAAAAATCTGAAACATTTTGGGTGGAATGTCAAATAAAAAGTCAACATGAGTAAATGTATTTGTAAATAATATGCAACAACATTTAAGATGTTTTTTTGTTTTTTTTAAATCGCAACAAGTAAAAATGTCACATGAAATGAAAAGTTTACAATAGTCGCTTACTGTAGGTGTAAAAAGCAGGACTACAGAGAATTTAACACACTACTCTTTCGCAAAACTGAGCTTGAAATAGGCCCCTTTTCAGTTTTTACTTTTTGTTTTCGGTGTCAAACCTAAGCAGTAAGCCGCCATCCATTGGCGGAATTGAGAGTTACACTCGAAATAAATGGCAGCCAGAACAAAATTGAGCGATAAACTGTACCCAAACAATTCCAGGAAATTGTGGGACCCCAAACTGGAGGGAGATTTAATGTATATCAATATTCCAAAATGGTAGTCCTAGATCGGTGTTAGTGATCGCTTCGTTAAAAAAAAACTGCTCGTAAGGAGTTGTCACAAACAGCCGTGACAACTGTTAGAACTATTTGCATAAACACACATTTGAATGACTGACTTCCCCATTCATCCATCCGTGTTCTGCGTGTATGACTCGTACCTTGTAGCCCATCGTAGGCTGCTGCTGCTGCTGTTGTTGCTTAGAAACGCTCCGTTCTCCTTCGGTTTCCTCTCATCCCTCCTGCCAAAAGAAAGATGTATTCACACCGGCTATGCTACACAAGTCATAACCGCTGTGTGCGGTGTGCTCCGATAAGCTCAACACAACACCACACACATGAAAATTCTGCTTCACCGTCGATCTCGAAACAAGTCCTCCGAGGCAGAAATGTTGGTCGTACGTGCTCTATCTTGCACCGATGTTAGGTAACTGTTTCCAAAGGGGACCGCAGGCAGGACTGTTGGCAAAAGCCCTCCTAGTTACAATGGATTTTTGGCATATTTGGCTGAGATTGCGTAAACCCTATTCTGCAGTGGTTGGCGCCAACTGAGGCAGTTCGACACATCTCGAGCCACAGGTTGTAGACCGCCGACCTGGACGAAGAATTTCAGGACCTTTACTGAACTTATAAGTCAAATACAACTCCGGGTGGGCATAAATAAAACCATCAATGTATTGATTTCAATTAACCGATTCAATTTATATCGTCGTCTATGTGGAAGATTGATTGTAAAACATTGGGAAAAATTCAAATTTCACATTTCCTGTCATTTGTTGACAAACCATCTTATTGCCACACAGAAAGTTAAAGACAGCATTGTCTATCCAAAAAGTAGAAATGTGGATATGGGGCAAATTCTTTCGGGCAAATTGTACATGCAGCACTATAGGAATTACAGCGCAGTCTTCCAGTTTGCTTTGGGACATAAATTCTCATACACATCACATTATTTATCCTCACTCGAAAATTAGTTGATGACCATTGGTTCATGTAACGCTTCACATATTTCCCTATGTTACAAAAAGTCCAGATTCACGAACGAAGGCGGTCTAATAGGAATATAAAAAAACATGCTTGACTTATGATGACAACTTGTTTCACCAGTTTGCATGTAAAGACTTGAAAAATGAACTACTAAGACAATTCAACAGAGATCCATTACAATACATTTTGAGCAACATAAAATACGCAATTGAAGATGGAGATAGATAGATAGATAGATAGATAGATAGATAGATAGATAGATAGATAGATAGATAGATAGATAGATAGACCGACCTGTGTGAAGTAGTGCTGCTACTCGGTCCTTCAGCATCGCCACGCACCTGCCGGGTTCCCTCTCCGATTGCGCGGTTCCCTTTTACACAAAGGCGAGAATAGTCGCCATTGTCGCTTCACAGGGTGCCTGGGGGTACTAGGGACCAAGTCGCGTTTGGAGAAAGTACAGCTCCTACTCGGCCCGCAGGAAAGGGAGCACTAAGTTTGCAAAAAACATTGCAGGTACTTTTCCGCCTATTTTCACAATAAGTTTTTTTGAGTTGCGTTTTTGCGATTTACATCGGTTACGGTGGGTAAAACGGACATACAGAATAAAAACTTATAATTTTAATAAACACACAAATCTCCTATCACGTTATCGAATCGTCGAGGTGCTAATCGCTTAGTCTATAAATTTAATTTGAAAAGTCATTTATCAGTATCCGGTATTTCTGGCCTTAGTAATGGCTTCTTCACCATTCTCCAGTCTAGCCAAGACACGCAATATCGCTGCAGTGGGGAAAAGGAGGGAAAAGACGAACGCGTCCATCGCCATTGTCAGCGGAGATACTCTTCAAACGTTACCATTCCGATGACAAAAATTGCTCGTTAAAACACACCGGTACACACGCCGAATAAAAAGGGTAGAAGCACAACGTTTAGCAGTTTGGAATGAATCGGTGATGAGGAATTAGAACACATCAGATGGGCTGAGAAAATGCATGACATGCCATTTGTTCGTGTTTTATTGTGATTAGGGGCCTGCCGCTATTAGGATGGTGCGACATATACTGCTGCAATTCCTTCATTTTATTTGTGCATATATAACACCGTACATCTCGCCGGCGTCGACCTCGTGGCGCAACGGTAGCGCGTCTGACTCCAGATCAGAAGGTTGCGTGTTCAAATCACGTCGGGGTCATTCCTTTTTGGCGTTCATTTTCCTCACGTTCCATATACGGAACACTTCATTCTCACAACATGCCCTGGGCTTTCAGGTGAAATTTCAGGTACCTATCTCAAGCAAACGCAAACCTTTTGTGAGCGTTTGAAAGCCCAACTGGGGGAGTACAACTTGTTGTTTAACAAGTAGCCGAATCAACAGTTGTTTCAGCCATGAAAGAGTCAAAGAATGTATTCTTCTGAGCCTTTCTGTGACTCTTCCGGTCTCTCTGCTGCAACCGACTGATGCCACTTTGTGACAGCAATGGCCGCAACCCCACGAAAATAACGGCAAGTGACCAGTGATTTATATTGTCATCAGCAGATTGCCACAGAGACTGCAGGTGTCACAGAAAGGCATAGAAGTGAATGTTTTGTAACTCTGCTTATAGTGCTGTGTAGGTTCCGCTGCAAATTTCAACCAAGTATGCCTACTACATTTTTTTTTTTGGTGAGTCGTGTATATTCATGCTGAAACACACTTAAAGGATCTATGGCAACTTTATTGATTTTATTTTGCAACTGTGAGGAAGGTGGAGGGGAGACTAAAGCACAAATGTCGAAGCTTTTCACAATGCTGCCACGAGGTGATCCAGAACAGTGTTTCCCAACCTTTATTGAGCTAAGGCACGTATTTATATGAGAAAAAAAAATGTCATGGCACACGACCAAACATGTCGATTCCACCTGCTACCATCTAGTGAAAGAGGATTTAGTTGTTCGTGCTGTTACTATGCATGGATGTCATGAATAGTTGCACAAGGTGGGGGGTCAATGTAAATGTTATTTACAAGTTTCATATATTTTTATACATGGAAAAAAGATTAAATGGGAGGATTCAGCAATAACTTAACAATCAGGAATTACTTCGCAACACAGCGAAGGCACCATTAAATAAAGGAGCGGGAGGGGAAGCAAGGGGGAACCTTGAGGGACACCATCTGAGGTTTCATACTAGGTGCTGTTGCTTCTTCCTCCGGAATTACGGATGCTGACTTTCTTGCAGGTCTTGTCGGTGCAGCGTTCCAGGATGAGCTCGGGACTCGGTCGGGGCGGGATCACTGGGGCCTCTGGCTTCAGCTCATTCTCCGAACTGAAGCGCTGCACAGGAATGTTCCCTGCGGGTCACACGTGCATATCATAGTGTTTTACTTTGGCACCATCTTGTGGCATCTGGGACCCAAGGAACAACATTGAAGTCTGGGGCGGTAGTCATCCTACCTTGGTTCTTCCTCTCCCTCAGAGGTGACTTCTCCGGCATCTTGGATTTCCTGGGCACGGCGGTGGGTAGGCCGCCTTTTTGCTGGAGGTATCGGCGGCTGTTCCTCCGGTAGGCCTCCTGGCTTAGGCGCTGCCGGCCTTGTTCGTGGATGCTCTTGGCGTTCTTAATGGTGGACCTGGAGAGAAGATACAGATGAATTTTGGCAACCCAAGCAAGGGTTCACAGCATAAAAAGGATCATCTCGATAATGGACCTGCGAGGCGGAGGCTTCTGTCCCTCTGGTTGCTTGATATTATATTCATACTTGGCCCCTTTTCCTGCTTTCTGCAGGAACATGGAGGGGAAGTGACCAGTCTCCTCGCCTTTCCTGAGCAAAGCAGGAAAAAGTTGCAAATTGAAGTCTAACAAGCCAAGTGCATCGTTTGACTTACGAGTGAAGCAGTGACTTCTGTACCTGACAACCCACCAGCCGTCCAAAAGCTTGTGAATGACCTCGATGGTTTCTCCCATCTCCAGCGAGATCTCATCGTCCGTCTCCGCCTTGTAGGCTCGGACTGTTACGTGCAATTCTCCTTCAGGGACAACGTGTTTTAAACAAAGCCACGCGGTTATGAAAATAATAATCAAAGGCCTAAAGATTACCTTCATAATTTGGCTCCACGTCCTCTGTCTCCTCCGGTCCATCCAGGGGTTCCAGGTAGGTGGCAGGAACCCATCCTCGTTTCGTCTCACATTGGCAGAACCACCAGCCTGAATGCCAACGGTTATGTGAAAGTTCACAAAATTTAACTTTTTGGAGAGCTGAATATGACCTACCACACCCAGTGGCAAGGTTACATGTATGGGTTGATCGCCTTTGGTTCATTAGTTAGCTAGCTAACAAACTACTTTTTGCGAGCTAGCTAACAAACAAACATATTGCTTTATGCTAGCGAGTTAGCTTGCTAGCCAGGATTAGGGCAAATTGAGGCCACTATTCTATATGGATGTTGTGCTGAAATGGCTGGTGTGCAATGTTCTCAATTGCCACAAGGTGTCACTGTAAACCTGTTCTTTTGGGTAGGAATGCTGTGAACAATCAGATTTTCTTCTTGACCTTTGGAGTTTCTCACCATTCTGGTTCTTCTCCACAATTTCCACCAAGTCCCCAGTGCGCAGGTTGAGCTCGTGTTTGGACGTCTTGGTGAAGTCTGCGATCACTCTGTATGTGTCCAGTATGATGGGCCCGGAAATCTCTAAAAAGGGGAGTACAGAACAATGGTTAATTATGTCTGTACCTTACATATCAAATAATCAGTAAAGCATCATTTTACTCAACATCAATATTTTAAATTACATACGTTTAATGAAATAAAAAACTTGGAAATTAAGGACTGTGATGTTAAGACTTTGCTATATAAATACACAACTTAAATATGCCAATATATAAATACAGTAACACAAAACTTTCACTTTTCGTCCTATTTTGCATGTTTCAATATACAAACACAAAGGCCGCTGAAAAACAACTACTGTATGTTCACATGCATTGTTTGCTCAATATTTCAAGTCTTACCAGATATGTTGTTGTTGACTTTGGTCTCCAAGAAGATTTCACTTTTTTTCCCTCTGAACAGAAAAGAGAAATACCGAACATTTTTTTTTTTGTTTTGTTTTGTTGACGCACTGTGTGTGAGTTAGTCATCTGTCATTGGTAAGGTGACTCATCTGAAACCCACAATGTGGCGTTTAATTTGGGTGAAGTATTGAAGAAGATGAATTCTATTGTGAGGGTAAATATGAATCCATAAAGTTATCTTGACAGTACTATTTTATTGCAATACAAAACAGTGCCATGCCTCTTTAGTTAGGTAGTTAATGCTTCCTCGCTAGCTAGCCACCCGGACGGTTTGTTAGCTCATTCATCCCCTCCCTCTCTTGTTAATTAGTTAGTTAGCTCATTTGTTTGTTTGCCTTCAGTTAGTTTGTGAGTTTGTTATTTGCCTTGAGTTAAGTCATTGATCTCCGTGTTGAGTGTTGAATGCAGCCCACTGACGTGTTTGGAGCCGGCGGGTTTTCGTCCTCCGGTCGCACTTTGAAGAAGGCGTTGAGATGCGAGCAGCGTGAGATGTGCGGCGGTAGCGCGATGAGCGACAGGCAATACTCGGTCAGTGTGCTCTGCTTGCTTTCCCGAGACCTTTGGCTCTCCACCCAACGCGGTGCTGCGAAACACAATCGATAATGAACAAATGTTAGTGAGTAGTTTTACTTTATTTTAGCTTTAGTTTTCTTTGAATTCGTGGTGATTGACATCTTGGATAAAAGTGAAGAATATTTCAAATGTCACACAAAACATTGGCCTTTCAGAGGACGAGTAATATTCTTTGATATTTTATTTATTATCGAGTTGTTAAAACAACTTGGAAGTCACCCCATTCGACTATGTAGATTTTAGTGGGAAGATTTTTTTTTTTCAATGCTCTACAAAGTCTTTTTTCGCGCGATCTTGGCGAGAGGAAGCGCTGCAATCCAATTGTGTACAAAGTGATGAAAATTGGGGTTTTTGTGTGATTTTGGTTGCATTTCCCCTCTTCTGCTGGCTTTTCTCAATAAAGAGAGCAAGAGGGAAAAAAAAGAGAAGTAAAAGTTTTGACACTCAGGTGCTTCCTGAAATAAAATCCCCTAAAGCGTGCAAGCGTTTGTAATTTGAAACAAACTCGCCATGAGTTCCCTGTCATTTTAAAACGTACACTTTGTATCGTGGATGCAGAAGATAGATCAAAAAGTAATGCGATGAGTCTCTGTTTACTTGGGTTGAATAATGAATCAAATCCAAATTGCAATTTTAAATAGCAAAGGCTGCCGTTGCAGGGGGCAAAAAAAAGGCTTCATTTTGATCGCTCTTTGTGTGTGTGCGTGTCTATTTTAGTTTTTTTTTTTATTTCCTGTCTAGATTAGTTCAGTGTGTTCCAGATTTGTTTGCATTACAGATGCAGCAACTCTAATTGAATTAGATCAATAAACTTTCATATGAATTCATGGTTCACTTCCCTTCATTTCACAGCGTAATCCTCAACCTTTAAAAACACAAAATTTATGTATAATAAATCTGACCTTGTTAGTTGTGAGAGAGATTTATGTGTGGATTGCGTTTGTTAAAAAAATACATGTAAATATGACCTTGGGGGAAAAAAAAATCATCTATTAAATTGCAATATTGAGGGAAATAAAATTGCACTTAGATGATTTTTTTTTTTTTTCAAAATCATACCTGGCAGCGATGGAATGATTCGGTCCTTTGTTTCGATTTGTCCGGCTTCAATCGGAAACATCTCTTTCAGGGATTTCTGGGAACAAGAGAGATCTGCTTTATTGAACAGCCAGCCACTGTACTGACTTGTTGAAATCAGGGGCAAAAGCATTTCATCTAGTCTTGCTTTAAGAAAACAAAACAAGACACTCACGTGGAAAGTGTAGATTTCAGGATATGTCCTGAAGATCAATTTCTCGACGAGGTCGCTCCACTTCACCATCAGCATGTACACCTGAGACAAAATAAAGTGAAAAAAAAAGAACATTAAAGCAAACTAAAGATGCTTATGATGAAAAAAAAGCCATTTTTGGAGCCTCACATAGTGCTGACTGGGGTAAAAGCGTTTCTCAAAGCCGAGCAGCTTCACGTGTCGAATGTAGACGTCCTCCATGTTGGGATGGAAGGAGACAGACTGATGTGAGACGCTGCTGGAGGCTTATAAATGTGCGTGTGCGTCTGCGCGTGTGTGCGCCTCTATTGTGTCATCAACATGCCGCAAATGTCACTTCCTCTTTACCTTGTTGTCAAGAAGGCAATTGAAACGCATGCATCCTCATGAGGGTCATGGGGGGGACACGGCAACTTCACTTCAATGCAAACCCAGAACCTCTCGACTCTTGAGGCGGACGGGCCAACCACTTTCTCACTGTGCTGACCGTCACGCTGATTTCACTTGATGGAAAATGAAATGCACTGACTAGACTTGAGGGTTTGCATTGACTAGTCTGTCGGGTTACATTTGTGGTTGCGGTGCCCACTATGCACTCTTTTGGTCGGTCCACACAACATGACTGTATCTGCAAAGTTTTCGCAACAGAAACAAAGAGGAAGATAGAAGAGCACTAACGGCAAACTTCCTCTTGTTATGGCCACAAATACTGAAAAAAAATAAATAAATAAAAATCATGATGCAAGGGAAATTGTTAAGACAGAAAATGTCATGTCTGGCGTGGGCCGTTAAGCGTTCACCACGGTTACGCTAAAACAAATAGAGAACCTCATCCGACAACAAGTTAACTTGGGTTAAGTGGCGGCTCTGGGTGCCAGGGCGCCATATGAACAAGACAAAAATTCTCATCAAATATATGTCAAAAGAGATGCATGTTTATTTTTACATGAGCAAAGTTGTTTCATTTGTCGCTGTTGTCTATTGCGCGACGTACATCCAGTCTGATCACGCAAAACTCTTATTAAAAAGGTCACATACACAATTGCTCCTCTTCAATAAAATAGATAGGACCAACGTGGGGCGCAACATTCAAGCTGGCCAATTTATCAGTCAACGACAGTTGAGAGTGATGTCAGCATGCATGCTTGCTCTGACCAACCAATCAAGAGGATGGAAAATGTTGACATTTTCGAGCTTCAGATCACCGGCCTTGGGCGGACAAATTTGAAATACTGATCCAATGCCAAAACTTAAGTAAAAGTAAAATACAGACCCTGAATTATATAAAAGAGAAACGTACAAAAGGAATTATATATGCTGGTCCTTTTTAAATTTTGGCAAAAAAAAAAGTTCCCTTCTTTGATTAAATTACTTCGTGCTTGTACTCAGAAGGAGGGAAAAATATTATAGTCAGAAACAAAATAAATTCTCCAGTCAAGTACACATACCTGAAAAAGAACTTTAAATACAGTGATTGTTAGTCTATTAAGTATTTGTACTTCGTTACTACCCACCACTGGAATAAATGGATATAATAATGCAACAAATAATGGTTATGAATGTCAAGTCTTCTGACACGGAATGAAACCTGACTGCCCACCACTGAGTACAATGAGAGCTATAAATTTGGAAATGTATTCGAATTATAACTCGAAAGTTGAAAGTAAGTCATTCTTTCATGCATGTGTACAGTATTCACGAAACAGTTATTTAAGCGTTTCAAAATAGGAACGTGGTGTTTCGTGTCCCCCCGAATGACGGTAGTATTTAGTTTGTCCTAATTACTTTGCCGTACAGCGCTCCAACTGTTGGGGGGCGGAGTGACAAGACGACGGGGAGAGTATTTCTAACACGTCCGCAGTTGGAAAATAAACTCAAGTCAATTTCAACAGTAAGTCATACTCAGTTTTCAACCAAGTATCTCTTCTAACTGCAACAATGAGCGGCAGAGGCAAAGGCGGCAAGGGGCTCGGAAAAGGAGGCGCAAAGCGTCACCGCAAAGTTCTCCGTGACAACATCCAGGGCATCACCAAACCCGCAATTAGACGTCTGGCTCGACGCGGCGGAGTCAAGCGTATCTCCGGCCTGATCTACGAGGAGACCCGCGGTGTCCTCAAGGTCTTCCTGGAGAACGTGATCCGTGACGCCGTCACTTACACCGAGCACGCCAAGAGGAAGACAGTCACGGCCATGGATGTGGTGTACGCTCTCAAAAGGCAGGGCCGCACCCTGTATGGCTTCGGCGGTTAAGCTTATCGGCTCTCTCCCATCAACCCAACGGCTCTTTTAAGAGCCACGCACTGAAAACTGAAAGGGCACATTTCCCAGAAAACCTACCAAGTTGCAGTGGAAAATTTCTGGTCACTGTTGGTTAATTTTCGTTGTTGGTCCTGTACAGTATGATAACCACAATACGAATAAAGTTAATTTCTGTTTTAACTTTTTATGGGGTAGCCAAATGCGGCGCAGGGACAAGTTTAGCATGGAGGTGCCATACAACACATTCAGTAAGTTCGACCAGGAATTGACTCAAACGCCAAAAATGTTAACTTAATATATTACAGTTTGTGGCAGTTTTTACAGAAGCTTTCAAAAGCGACAGTCAATTATTGCAATCGATTCATGTAGATATCAACATCTGCTCACTTCAACTTCCGAAAACATGATTGCTTCAATATTTTCTATAAGCCATTTTCCACATGAGCGCCACATGTCGTGAAACTCCTATGGAGAGGGAAACACTTAACATCCCCAAATATTGGGATGATCGCTAGGTGGTTTTTCAGAGGCTCAATTGGGCAGAAGTATAAACGTATGCATACTTGTTCGTGGTTGGTCGGTTTTAAGCTCATCAATAGAATCTTCACAAAATCCAAAATTAATGTGCCGATCGAACTGAAATTTTCTGAGGCTGAAGTGGGCCAAAGTAGAGATCTCCAAATATGGTGGTGATTATGGCAATTTCCGCGCATCAAGTATGAATGTATTAACCTTCATCGTTTATCAACTATCCCATTTTAAGTGTCTCTCGTGGAATACACATGCATATTGAACATTCAATAACGTATTCAAAATTAGATTGTCAAAGCAACAATATTCAAAAACATGCAAAATATTATCAACAAAGTAAATGGTAATTAAGCTCAACAATGCTATGACAACATTTGATTACAATTAATGCAAAATGTCCAGAAGTACTTTTGTTGAATGGAGAGGATGTAAAGGATTGTCCATGATCAAGAAGTCTGCTCACTTACATTCAAATGTAAAATACAGAAACACATTTTACAAGTAACTACTTCGTATAAGGAAAAAAAATCGAAAAACATCTAGTGATTCTGGAATGCTTGGCCAACCAAACGTGTTTTCACGGCTTTTTGTAAGTGTCCACTTGTAGAATACAATACAAAATGAGTCGTGGTTCAATAATCGTAATAGCAAATACATATCGGGTTAGTCAATTACACGATGGCGTCAACCTCTTGTGTGGGGTGTTGGTATTTTTTTTCTCGACTGGGTTTACTCTGTCCGACCGTTTTCAGCTATTATAGTTGTGGGTAAAATCTTTCAGAGTCATGTTTCAACATGTCCACTGTGCGCTTGCTTGGACATACGCAACCACACAAGTGCTGGAAAACCTTTGGTGTCCTTTCCAAATTATTTTATAAACTGTATTCAATGCTACTTAACACTACATTTGCAATAGTGTCTCCCAATCAAATGTAACCAATATGCTTCAAATGCACAACCACGACACCATAGCTTGGAATGTGTATATAAACATTCAAACAAACATCTAAAATCGCTACGTGAAATTACGGGGAAAAGTGGAAATAACGGACCCAAAACAAACACTAAAACCTTGCCTGCCTCAGAATGAAGAAACGCTGATCTGACTGCAATCTTCTAATGAGTGCACATTCCACGCAAGTAACACCCTCAAATCACGTCACATAGGTGCAAACTAAATTCAAGCTGTTAAGTTATCAATAGACTGTCATCAATTGATTTTTCATGCATCCAAACGATCGATGAACACGTAAGATCCTCGCGTGTGTTGCCGACTGGTAACCGCCCCGGGGTCACCGCGTGAAACTCGTGTGTTTACCATCGTCTCAATTTTCGCTGATAAAGGCAAAAATAAAACCGATCGTGGAGCCGAGTTGGTTCTAATCCACGCTCAGATGTCTCTGCTAATGTGCGAAGCTGCGTCGCGACCGCCACGACACAATTTCACGCATTTTGAGGACAAAATGTCACCAAAAGTGGCCGCGGTCGTCTCCGAATGACAGAGAATCGGTGAGGTTTGAAAGGTCTAGTGATAAAACCAGCCCATATTAAACCACAAAAACAATCCTAGGCTAAAGAAGAGGGGGTCAACTATGATCTGGTGCAAAAGATTTGATAATAGATTTGAATTTATAGCGTAGTTTGGGACTTAAACGTGAAAGAGAAAACACAAAAAGCACGTCCACATATCGCTCGAGTGCAGAGCTGCGGCTGGGTTGAGTCTCCCCGGTTCTCATGTGCCGTATAAGTCCCGCCTCCTGCTCTCCAGCGGACAACTTGTTTTCAGCAAGACGCACCGGAGAAGAGCCATGGCAGAGGAAGCACCGGCAGCACCCGCTACGACCCCGTCTAAGGCGGCGGGAAAGGCCAAAAAGAAGAAGCAAGTAGTCAAGAGGGCGAATAGAGATACCCCCAGCCTCTCCAAACAGATCGTCGCCGTCATTTCCGAATCCAAGGAGCGCAAAGGAATGTCGGTGGCTTTGTTGAAGAAGTCGCTGGCGGCCAAAGGCGTGGACGTGCCCAAACTCAACAGGCGCATCAACGTCGCCTTAGTCTCTCTCGTGACTAAGGGCATCCTGACCCAAACCACGGGAATTGGCGCTTCTGGTTCCTTCAAATTGGCCAAGAAGGAGCCGGCCGCCAAGAAGCCCACTAAAGCCATGAAAACCAAGAAGAAACCCGCTGCCAAGAAGTCCACCACTACCACCACCACTGCTGCTGTCGCCGGCAGGAAATCGACAGCGGGCGCAAAGAAGAGACGTACCTCGGGCAAGTCTGAAACGAAAACTAAGAAGCCAGGGAAGAAGTCTCCTGCTAAGAAGGCTTCCAAGTCGGCAAGCAGCCCCAGGAAGGCCACGACGTCCAGAGCAAAGTCGAATCCCAAGTCCAAGAAGGATACCCCGAAGAAGGGGAGGAAGCCTGCCGCCAAGAAACCTGCACTCAAAAAACAAGCCAAGAAGGCACCAGGGAAAAAGTCCAAGAAGTGAATCGACTAACGCGTTTCACATCTTCAACCAACCAAAGGCTCTTTTAAGAGCCACCACATCACCCAAAGAGCAATTCCTCAATCTATTATGCATTTCAGAATATGTTGTTTTTCTTTTTAGATATGTGGCAGTGAATGCACACTGGCTGGTCACCATAAATAAATTGGATGGTGTACCCCCCCCCCCCACACACCATCTCAAATTTGATTAAAAGTTGCTTTATAAACCCCCAGATTTGAAAATATATTGTTTACATAAGCTCCCAAAATGTGATTGTACGTTTCTTAACTGTCGTGCGCCAAAACGTAGTCTGGGATAGGGTGTTGAAAAATAATAGCCCAGGGCTGGGGGACAGGGTCAGCCATGTTGCCCGGCACTGCCCAGAAATCCACCAGCTGTTCGGGAAGGTAAACATATTTTCCCGAGGTTCCCCATTTTCCCTCCCACCTCTGATACAGGACAAACGGAGCACCTCATTCATGTTAAGATTTTGAGTGAGTTGAATTTTGTGGAAAAAAAATGTACAAAATGAGTTCTGACACTTGATGTTAGTTCGCAGGTCAACGGTTTTGTGCAGTCCTTGAATGTTTTTTTTTTAAAGCAAGACAGCCCTTTGCATTTGTATGTGGTTATTTTATTGTTTGCTTCAAACCCTTTTGTTGTTGGATTAGGATAGTTGATCTTTTATACATGCATTGAAACATATCAAATGGATTAAGAGCAAATATTTTGCCCATAGTTAAAGTACCATTTTTGTTATACATCTGTTTAGGAAGTGTCTGAATCAGTGTAAGGACTGAAGAAAAAAAAATTGGCCCCTCCTGTATTTCGTTGCCCATTATCCCTACTTTAGAAACACTCAAGAAACAAAAAACTGTTAAGTCAATTCAGACATCAAAATCAACAAAAACAAAGCTGTTCAAACGTCCGCTTAGACAGTTGGCGCCTTTCAAAGTGTTCCCGCCAACGCTTTCATTGGTTCATTTCAAATTCTTCTCGTCCAATCGTTCCTTTAATACAACGACACGTGACTCTCCATTCGACCAATAAGCGTCCCCGTAGTGCCGACACTCTACTATAAAATCTCCGGGTGACGCGTGCAATATCATTACAGACTAAGCACTCTCTCTAGTCGAAATGGCCAGAACAAAGCAAACCGCTCGTAAGTCCACCGGAGGAAAAGCTCCAAGAAAGCAGTTGGCTACCAAGGCGGCCCGTAAGAGCGCCCCAGCCACCGGCGGAGTGAAGAAACCTCACCGCTATAGGCCCGGTACAGTGGCTCTTCGTGAGATCCGCCGTTATCAGAAGTCAACGGAGCTGCTTATCCGTAAGTTGCCCTTCCAGCGTCTTGTCAGGGAGATTGCCCAGGACTTCAAGACTGACCTGCGCTTCCAGAGCTCAGCCGTCATGGCTCTGCAGGAGTCGAGCGAGGCTTACTTGGTCGGCCTGTTTGAAGACACCAATCTGTGCGCCATCCACGCCAAGCGCGTCACCATTATGCCCAAAGACATCCAACTGGCTCGCCGCATTCGCGGCGAGAGAGCCTAAGTCTCCCGGTCTCCCCATCACAACAACGGCTCTTTTAAGAGCCACTCACTTGTTCTAAAATGGCTTCAATTCCTCATGCTTATCTCTTACAATGTGACAAGGACAATATTGATGCTCCTGGTGGTTTGTGTATTATGTAGAAAATGTTGCACACATTGAGTCCCCTACTTTGGAGAACAAAAAAAACTAATCAACCCCTTGGCTATTTTCGTTCACAAAGCATGCCATGATGAGAATAGCAGGGTTTCATTTAATTTTTGGCCTCAGTCTTCAATTATAAGAAGCTGGTGTGAAGATCAATAGCAAGTGTATGTAAAATATTTCATAGTTCCCCGAATACTAAATATTTACCTCATATTTAACGTTGGGAATTATTTGCATTAAAATGTCCATTTAATATTGCTGTTCACCTTATTAGGGTTTTGATATTTAAGGTGACAAATATTGTATTGTAAAAATGACAACGATGTCGACCAGTTTGTTGACACATTTAACACTGAAGACGAAATGTCAAGAATTCAGGTTACCTATTGCATGTCTGTATATAATTGCTATAATTTTGAAGTTATAGGTAAGTTACATTGCTCAGTACAAATACTATAAGGGTTTAAGGTGCGATTACATTGATGAGCTGGTCATTGAAAATTAATCAAATATGTTAATGGTACACAAGATGTTTGGTCATTTGGAATATTGTGTACATTTTATTTCATGTCCTGTATAGATACATGTGAACATTCCTAAATACTGGCATGTACTAATGAAATGAATATACGATTGTAAAAATCGATTTTTTAAAATTTCCTTTTTAGAACATTTGTAAATATGAATGTATGACCTATTTTGTATTGATTATTCCTAAATCATTTTTAATAAATGACACGACACTGTCAGTTTATTTGCATACTACACTAAGGTAAAATCCTGTTGCGCCACCCACGTTCCTCTGTAGATACTATCTACATTTCAAAAAGAAAAAAGCGCGACAACTTCCTTGCCCTATTGGTTAAAAGTTCTCCGCCCACGATTTCGAATCTGCAGTAATACGTCACAGCACACAAACCAATCCTGTGAGAGCAACAGCGTACAAAAATTTGCATAGGACGAATAATAAAAGCTCAACTCAGCCAAGTCCAAGTTCATACAACGCCTTCCAGTAAAGTCGTCAACATGCCTGAACCAGCAGTCAAAGCCTCAAAAAAGGGCTCCAAGAAAGCCGTCGCCAAGTCTACTAAGCCTGGCAAGAAGAGAGTGAAGCGCAGGAGGGAGAGCTACTCCATCTACGTGTACAAGGTATTGAAGCAGGTCCATCCCGACACCGGCATCTCTTCCAAGGCTATGAGCATCATGAATTCGTTCGTTACCGACATCTTTGAGCGCATTGCCGGCGAGGCTTCCCGCCTGGCGCTCTACAACAAGCGCTCCACCATCACCTCCCGGGAGATTCAGACCGCCGTCCGCCTCCTTCTTCCTGGTGAGCTGGCTAAGCACGCAGTGTCCGAGGGCACCAAGGCTGTCACCAAGTACACCAGCTCCAAGTGAAGTGCTATTCTTCAATCTCGGCAAAAGGCCCTTTTCAGGGCCACCACAAACTTCTTAAGACTTCACTTCCTCACTCAGTATTATGGTACTAATGCTTGTCTTTACTGCAACTGAGTTGTAAACCGCAGTCCATGAAATGATCAGGGTTTCCTCATATTTATTGATCTGTAATTGTTTTGTTTATTGTGAATGTAACGTACAATGATTATTTGTACGAGGCTACAGCGCCTGATGACAGTGACTTAATTCCAAAATTATCAGGCGATACTTTCAATGTGCTTTTTACATGCATCAGTATTCGAATCTATCAAATACATTCGACCGGTAGATGTATTATACCAAAGCTACATATAAATACTTTACGATAACGCCTGTTGATTAATGCACACGCCCGACTGGATTCCAACCCAATGAAGTCTCTTCTTCGGCTACGCCCCTTAGAAAAACAGCGCTATTTATTAGAAAATTGATTTGATCGGGGTACTACTGTCCGAAGACAGCTGGGGTGGGCTCGAGGATAAACTGATAAAGAAGTAGATGGATAGATATACTCCTGTACCCCATTTGGTTACATTATGAACAGGAAGAATTCTAATCGCAGGTTATCGGAAATGCTCATCGAAAGTAAACAAATTGTAGCATCTCAGATCCAAGTTTACAATTGACAAAGCCGACTAATTTATACTGAACTCGACTTAAGACAAAGAACGTTTACAGAAAATAAGTACACGCAGCAAACAAATCAATTTATACTGAACTCTACATATGACAAAGAACGTTAACAGAAAATAAGTACACGCAGCAAACAAATTGCGAGCTTCCATGTAAGACGCTGGACAGGAAATGAATAAGGCAACGATATCCGGTTTGCCTTTCATCATAAACGCGACTTTGCAAAATAAAACTAACTGTAGGAGCACGCAAAAACATATTCAGGACCAAGTCAGGACAACAGAAATGAGACGTTAGTAGCTGAAACATCAACATTTTTGCAGAAAAAGCCGCTTCATGAATCCACAATTGGAATAAATGCTATGTAAATTATTATTATTGGATGTGTTAGTACATGTTTCCGTAGTGTAGTGGTTATCACGTTCGCCTAACACGCGAAAGGTCCCCGGTTCGAGACCGGGCGGAAACATCTTTTAACCACAAATCAAGGAATTTTTTTTTTCATTATTCTAATCCAGCTAAGAAAATACAAATGATTTAAAAAGTAGCTCTGTGGCCCGAAAAAAAGGCGTTAAAAAGACTACTGCAACTGATGGTCTGGCATGATTTATAATACCGGAAGTTCCGCTCCACGTGAGCCGACCTATGCAGCAGTTGTGGGCTAAACCGTCTTTCCGCGTCCATAAAATGACTTCAGCGCCGTATCCGGCAGGTGGGAAGTGTAGAATGCATTCCTTGGTGAGTTCGCTATAGCGGTCTTTGTCTTTTGTCCCGCGGACGAATCGCAGCCAGGGCAGAACGTCTAGTTAGCTTGAGCTATTTACATATGCTAACGCCAGCGCTCCAACTGCCTGCTGTTTTGTTTTGGGCTGTGTTTGTTATTTATTTTAAGTGGCTTCGCCTTGAACCAACTAGTTGAGCTTGCCCGGGCCCACACGATGAATCAAATCATTTATACTAGTGGTTTGAGAAGGTGATAGGCAAGCACACTCTCTGACGTGGTATGAGTATGTTTTAAACTCAATTCGATCTCAAATGTACGCATACGTGTTCATCTAAGCACGGCAGGTTTTATTCCACAAAAGGTTGATTTGCTATTTTTGTTAGCCACTGTGACGTAGTTTGAATATTAAAACTATTTTGGGCAGCATACATACATGCAAGTACATTTTTCGAACTAACATTTCTCCAAGGTGCCACTGTGTTGAATTTAAAAGTTAAATACAAATGAATTGTAACTTTGGCAGTGATTCTTCCGGCTTCCCCTTACATAAGTATTCAGTTAAAATATATCGCAGATGAAATTGAAACAAAAAATGTGCATAGATAACTGCTTCAACACAAACCGTTCTACAAAGGTTGTATGTTAAATTACAACTGAATTGATTAACATTTTTTTGTACACCACTAGAGAGAGCCAATTAATCACTATTGGAACTTGGAGCTACCATACTCTGAGAATCTTCTTTTCGTTTGTTTTGTTTTGCACTTCATTCTGTTTATAACCCGTTTTCATAGTTATGATTTATGACAAAACAATGTGCTGCATTCATGGTCCCGGAAAAAAAGGAGAGCAGTCGCCAATGCACTTTCGGCCATTGACTGCTCGAGTCAAACTGTCAAAAATACAAATGTAAAATGAAAACAAATGCAAGAATCTGTTGTAGGCCACAACACACACCCAGCTGCTCACCCACAGGCTCAACAGCTGACTGGATTCCAACCCAATGAAGTCTCTCCCTTGGCCATGCCCCTTAGAAAAACACTTTCTTTCTTGCCATGCGCTTTTAATCCTGATTTTTTTTTTCCAACACAGCACTATTGTGCTATTTATTAGAAAATTGATTTCATCGGGGTAAAGCGAGGTAGTAGCTTTTTAATGGAACTCATTAAATTATTTTTCACAGATTCCTGACGGGCCGCCAGATTCGCTTCTCTTCCACACCGGGATGTAAACATGGACGGTGTGGACAACAACTACATCTGGCAGCGGCGCGTGTTCCACGGCATGCGCAACCAGAGGGGTGAAGTCCCCTTTCCGGAGTCGGCCAAAATCGGCGTGGAGTTCAACGCCACCGTGGAAAGATGGACAAAGTTGGACACCAGTCTGTTGACCCACGGCGTGCTAATGGAGATCTGCAATTTTGCCCGGACCGTGGCGACGGCGGAGAAATATTTTCTATTTGAGGTCATGGCGTTCAACTTTGACCTGGGCTTGGACACCGCAGACCACAAGTTGTGTTACCAGTACGCGGCCCGCATTCACGGCAAAATCAAAAATAAAAAGGTCAAACCTCAACATCTCAAGGACATCTTCCCGTTGCCGGACGTGTCCGTTTTAAAGGCGTACGTGGACAAGACGACATCGCAGTCCCAGATTCCTCTCAACAACTTTTTTTCCATCCTCGCTCCTCCCCACTTGTCGGAAGAGCAGCCCGCGGAAGGCGCGGTTGTTCCCAAAAAGGGACAAGAAACGACATTACACAAAGCGAACCCTTATCCCATCTGCCAAGAATTGGGCGTGTCTTTGGCCGTTGACCCGTCCAAATCGGGCCACCGGAAGTTCCATTTGGATCTGCTCACCAATGGCCTGATGCTGGAACTCCTGGACTTCTCTCGCGTCCTCTCCAGCACCGCCAATCGCATCGGCAACACCTTGCTGGAGCAGAACTTTGGCATCCAGGTGAGCCAAATCCCAAGGGTCATGTTTCAGAAGCGCAAAGCTCTGGATTACACGAGAGCGGACGCCAGGATAAAGCGATCGCTGCAGTGCACAATCGGCGACGCCACGGAAGAATTGCTGGCCGATTCCTACATGTGCCCACTTGACTCTGAGGCCGAAACGCAGTCCTCCGTGGCTGTGAACGAAGACGACGGACAGGTTCCGGTCACGGCAACTCGCACGGACACCCAAAGCAGCATCGGCGAACGCTCTGATGAAGGAGCTCTGGACGGTGACGCGAGGCGGAAGCTGTGGCTGCTGCGTGGCGTTTGCTCCACGCGAATCCTGACAACCCAGAAAGCCAAGAGCCAGTTTGAGAGCTGCCGGGAGATCGGTTTGGACTTTGACGTCGGCTCGGGCGCCAAGCAAGCCTTGCCTCTGCATCTGCTCACCAACGGTGTCCTGATGGAGGTTCAGCAGTTTGCCATGGCCCTAAATAAAGGCTCGGGGAGCTTCTTGTCGGACATCCTGGAGCGCAACTTTCACGTGGTCCCGCAGGAGGAGCACAGCACGCAGACTCTGGTCGGGGATTTAATCACGAAATGGAAGGCCCTCCTCGCACATCCCGACAAAGCACAATTTGAGTTCCTCAACGGCAGTTTACATCTCCCGCACATTTACGACGGCGGAAAGGAAGTCGAGTCAACAAAGTGCGCGTCGTCGTCCTCGGACATGGACCCGTATCCTTTCTGTAAGAGGATCGGCCTGGACTTCTGGGCGACGGACGGCGTCAAGCTGCCGTTGTCCGCGCTGACCGTCGGCGCGCTGCTGGAAATGTTCCAATTTGTGGACAGTTTGCGCGGCACGACGACCGAGCTGGTCAAGGACATCCTGGAGCACAATTTCAATTTGGACTTGCGGAGTGGCGAGAGCGAGGCCGCCGCGGCGTTCCAAAAATGGTGCGCCGGGGTGGTCCAAAAATGGCCCTCGGTGGGGAAGTGGTTTGTGAGGAGGCCGAACGCGCTCCCCAGGGACCTGTGGCTCAGCACGCCCGTCTTCACGCAGATCGAGTCGGAGGACCGCGGCGCAGGAATACCCTCGAATCAAGAGACGAATGTCACGGCGATCCAATTCAACGACTTCGGCGCCTGCAAACAAATCGGACTGGATCTTGACGTGGGCTCCAAATGGGGAGCCAAGAGTAAGTTGAGCCTGCAACAGCTGACCAGGGGCGTCCTGCTCGAGGTGCACCGCTACGTGCGGCAGAACCGGCTCCGCTATGTGCCTTCCCTTTTCCAAATCCTGGATTACAACTTTGAGCTGGGCTACCACAACTCGCACAAGGTGGAGTTCGCCTGGTCCGTCGCATCTCAGGTGCTTGCCATGGCGAGGAAAAGTAACAGGAACGACAATTACCTGAATACGGTCTTTGAGCTTCCCTTTCAGCTCCCGCCGTCGTCACCCTCGCGGTGCAAAGACGAACCGGAGGAGGAACTCCTCCACCAACAGGATCCCGGCGACCAAGATATCGTGTTTGTCCAAAAACTGCAACCTGTTGACATCGAGGTGGAGATCGAGTAGTTTTCTGTAGTTGTCTTTTAGCAATGGTGCAAAAATAAAATGTTCATTTCCCGCCATGTCTTCTGCTCAATTGTTGCATTCATAAAGCCATGAGAAATTCCCAAAACAGATGAATGTCCAAGCCACACATGCTCTTAAACCACTTTATAGGAAGTTAATATGGCTGCCGGAGTTCCTCCCCTGATCGGAAAAAGGTTATTGAATTGAATTGAATGCAAATTTATTGTCAAATGTTGCTGTACGTATGTGTAACATACGGCATGCGTCTGTGTTTGTGTGTCAGAAATTTACAGGACCGGTGTGACAAAAGACATTTCAAACCCAAACTACGAACGGCACGTATGCATCCTGAGTGAAGCGGGACAGAAAATGGATGGATGGACCTTTGCTTTTTGAATGAACGAGCGCAAGTTAAGTTTTGCACGGTCTTTGAGTTTATTCACGTGTAGCCGGGTACAGTATATGTATCAAATATGTGGGTTCAAGTCATTTATGTTTGAAGTTGCTGTAAAATCAGGAAGAGTGTATGTATGCTTCGCATGCTTCAGAAAGTGCAGGATGAGGAACAAGACAATTACATAAATGATAATTACAAAAATTATGAAACAATTGTGTGAATTGACCAGATTATTTGCGGGGGTGGGGTGGGGGGGGGCTAAAGAATGACTAACAAAGAATGTTTCCGCCCGGTCTCGAACCGGGGACCTTTCGCGTGTTAGGCGAACGTGATAACCACTACACTACGGAAACACATATTAACTCTTGTGACCTCACTGACACTTCAGGTCTTATAAATCATGCCAGACTACCGGTTGCAGTAGTCTAACGCCTTTTTTCGGGCCCACACAGCTACCTTTTATAGCATTTATATTGTCATAGCTGGATTAGAATAATGGAAAAAAAATATTGATTTTTGCATAAAAAGTTGTTTCCGCCCGGTCTCGAACCGGGGACCTTTCGCGTGTTAGGCGAACGTGATAACCACTACACTACGGAAACATATAGTAGCTCTCCTGAAGTAAACTTTTAAGTAGGCAATACAGTTTTATGTGACGCTCAAAGGCGCTTACATGTATTTTTATCCAACTACAAAAGTCACCTTTCTCCTGAATGGTAACTTTTCTAATACTGCTTTTGTGTCGTACAGTATGCCTCCAAAGTACACGAAGCGGGTTCGTGATACATCTAAATGGTGTAAGCCAGGGCTGTCAAGCTCATTGTCGAGGGCCACATGGTAGTTACTGTTTCCCTTTGACGGACGTTATGACTGTGAAACCATATCAAAACGATCAGTATAATGGTTTCTTCAACTAAGTTGCTGTAACCAAGTTACTTTGGTAACAAGGACATACTTGCATACTGTCACACGGTATAAAATGCTAACGGTTTCCACTTCATAGCGATTTATGCAAGTGTAGAAACGTTTATTGTTCTCTCTCCGTAAAAAGAAATTGGCACTTTAATCTGCAGTGAGGCGATTAGTAAAGTTCATACTGATGGAAAGGAAGTCTTAAGAAGCTTGTTGTGGCCCTGAAAAGGGCCTTTGGCCGAGAGTGAAGAGTAACACTTCACTTGGAGCTAGTGTACTTGGTGACAGCCTTGGTGCCTTCGGACACGGCGTGCTTGGCCAGCTCACCGGGAAGAAGCAGGCGGACGGCGGTCTGGATCTCCCTGGAGGTGATAGTCGAGCGCTTGTTGTAGAGTGCCAGGCGGGATGCCTCGCCAGCGATGCGCTCAAAGATGTCGGTAACGAACGAATTCATGATGCTCATAGCCTTGGAAGAGATGCCGGTGTCGGGATGGACCTGCTTCAATACCTTGTACACGTAGATGGAGTAGCTCTCCCTCCTGCGCTTCACTCTCTTCTTGCCAGGCTTGGTAGACTTGGCGACGGCTTTCTTGGAGCCCTTCTTGGAGACTTTGACTGCTGGTTCAGGCATTGTGACAACTGCTCAGGTAAGCGATTTCTGAATTGAAGTCGGCCGAGTGTCGTTTTTATAATCCAGCTATGCAAATTTCTGTGCGCTATTGCTCGTACAGGATTGGTTTGTGCGGGATGACGTTTAACACGCTGTTTTGAAATCGTGGGCGGAACGCTATTAGCCAATAGGCTAAGGTACTTGTCGCGCTTTTTTTCTATTTGAAATGTGGATAGCATCTCCCGAATACCGCGAAGGGGACGACAAGGGAATTTTGCATTGAAGTAGAATGCAAATGAATGCCAAAAGTTACAAGGATTGTCTCTCTGGTTGCTTGAATGGTTCTAGTACCACATCCACAAAAAGTAAGACAAGTCAAAAGGGGTCTCCTATCTCGGTTCATAAATGAGAGAGACGGATAGTAGTTTTTAGAACGTTTTAAAATATTTTGGTTGAGTTTTTCCGACACATTGTCATAACTTTTAATTTTGCACACAAGAAATACACAAAAAACTAATACTAAAACTAAAATTTCCAGAAAAAACTAAAACTAATAAAAACTAACAAACCAGCTTTGAAAATTAATAAAAACTAACTCACAATGAAAACTCTCAAGCCATTATCAACTCGGCCCCTCAACAGACAAGAGCTTTTCAAAACATTTATAGCACATATCCATCCTGGGGTGAGCAGGTAACTAGCAACTGTATTGTAATACATTTTTTTAAAAATAACCCTCTCAATGTTACGAGTTGATATTTATCTTCTTCCTAATTATTGTGAGAAAATCATTAACATGAATGTCTTCACGGTAATGAATATAATTTGCAACAAAAATAACAAGATGTCACAATAATAGGAACATTCTTCAAAGCAATTTGAAGACATTTGTTCTATCCGAAGTTCACATCAAACCGTTCGTTCGCCATTCCAACTAAACTAATGGCTCCTTTTCAAAAAGTTTGCTGACCGTCCGAGTTTAAACGTCACTCACTAATTTTCAAAAAGTTTGCTGACCGTCCGAGTTTAAACGAGTCAGGAAGTGCTCTCAAGTGGCTGTGGTAATGGCTCTGAAAAGAGCCTTTTAGTTTGATTATGTATCCGAGTTGACAGCTCACTTCCGAGTCTTTCTAACTGTTGGTTTCTTGGTTGCTGTGCCTTTCTTCCCAGTAGGTTTCTTCGTTAATTTAGCCTGTGTTGGTTTTATTTTAAGCTTCTGTTTAGGTTTAGCAGTGGCATTGGACTTCCTGGGACGAGCTGAAGTCTCCGATTTCTTAGCCATGGGTTTCTGCTTGGGCTTGACATATTTCTTGACGGATGTCAGAGAGTTCCGTTTCTTGGAAGAGGGCGTCGGCTTCTTGGGTCTGCCAACCTTCTGGATGGATTTCAACCCAACGGAGCTCGTCTTCTTGGGTGATTTGGTCTTGGGGGCAGGTTTCCCCTTTGTCACTTTGAAGGAACCAGAAGCGCCAGCTCCCTTGACTTGGGTCAGGGCTCCCCTCTTCTCCAGGCGAACCAGGGAGTCGTTGATGCGCTTGTTGAGCTTCGGCACGTCCACCCCTTTGAGCGCCAGAACTTTCTTGAGCGCGGCCACCGACATGCCTTTGCGCTCCTTGGACTCCGCCATCACCTCCAAGATCATCTTGGAGATGCTGGGCCGTTTGCTCGCTGGTGCTTTCTCTGCCATGATCGCTATCTCGCGTCTCTCGTTCGTAACGAGCTGTCAGTTTTTTTGTAGACGAGCTGTCAGCTGGAGAGTCGGAGGCGGGGCTTGGAAGGCACATGAGAACCGGAGAGACTCAACCAGCCGCAGCTCTCCACTCGAACGAAATTTGTGTTTTCTCTTCCGCGTTTCAGCCCCAAAGTGCGCCGTGAAAAAACATCTACCTACACGATTTGTACACTACAAGCAAGATAACACCCTTACCTTTCGACTCAGTTCATATTTCTTTGTAAAGATTTGCAAGTTGAGATTTTAGAGCTTTCACAACACCCCACTACTCAGTCATCTGGTGACGTTCGCGATGACTTTTCCTCACACTTTCTTCTCAAAATGTGCCTAATTGTGAGGTGATCGACGCGACAAAGCGTCGCGCATTAGAAGAGAACCTCGACCGCGGATTACAATCAAATCCACGATGGTAAATGTTTCATTTTGTCTTTTATTGGTGAAAATTGGGACGGCAGCAAACACAGTGTTTGCCACCGTGACTCGGGGCGGTTACTAAACGAAATACGCGTTCGATCTTGTTATCGGATTACATGATGTCATTTTTTTTTCCAAAATGCCATTTTATAACGATCATCTGCTTTCTGTCAGGAGCACAATACGACCACGGTAAAGACACAGCGGGATGTTGAATTCTTCCTAACGATTTGTTTCGACATGGCATCTGCACCTTGAATGGGTAGACTTGATGTACTGTGAGGAATAATCGAAGAATCCACTCCAGGCGTTTAAGACTTTATTATACGTGGAAGGAGGATAAACTGGGGCTATGTCGGACACAAAAAAAAAAAATGCAAAATAATGTCTTCCTGGGAAAATTAGTTTTGCTTCTACACGAAGCTGAACTAAGACGTGTATTCTTTTTGCAAGTGGACGGCAAGTTGGAAAGGGAAGGAGCTAAGATGTTTGTGTGCAAGAAAGAAAATCAACATTCAAGTGAGTCAAAATGACTGCAGTCATGCCAAAAGCAAAACTGATCAAATAAATGCGTTTCACAGTTTCAAGACAACCCAAACTAGACGGTATACAGGTTTATATTGTCATCAAACAACCACAGGACCACCACAGTCTTTAGACAGCGTGAGCCTTTAGTCCTCTTCAGTCACATCTTGAGTGGTTCATCAAGCCATTCATCAATCCACCATGCATTTTTTATTCCCCCCCCATTGTGTGCGGACGAAGCCAGGTCATCACAGACCTCTTTAAAAAACAGTTTCTGGATTGTGGGAGATAAAACAAGAAGGTTGAGAAGAAGAGTTGCTGTAAAAAAGAAAAAAAAAATCCTAGTGATCGGCACTTTTGAAGTGTTTAATAGTCAAGGGCCTCCCATAAAACAGGTAGCGTAATAAATGGCGAATGTGCTTCTCCAAGCCTCAAGGTAGGAACTTGTAAAATGTCAAACCAGTCATCCATACGCAGTAGCTTTCAAAAGCACTTGTCCTCAAAAGCGGAAAGCTGGGACCTATCGCAGCTTAAAAAAAAAACAAAAACACTCAAGCGCAGGGAGAACATGCAAACTCAACACGGGAAGGCCACAGTCGAGTGTCAAACCCAGAACCTCAGAATTGTGAGGCAGACGTGGTGACCACTAGCATATCGAAGAAAATGTCTACTGGACATCGAACTCACGGCCTTCAGGCCCGCTTGGTGGCCACGCTGCCACGTGCCTGTTAATAAATATGATCACAAAACACAACACGCTTGTGCGACGGAAGGTCAATCGAATCAGTTTTGAAGCACACGATCGGTGGCCAACCAACGATGTAACCCGTTTTGTTCCTCCATTTTGTTGTTTCACACCCAAAGTGGCCACAGCTCTCTCCGTATGAGTCTGAATATTTGTACCGTACTGTCCAATTTCTCTCTTTTACTGCCTTTTCACATTCCTGTCTCGCCCGCCAGCTGCCTTGGCGAGCGGCGACGCCGGACCCAGCCGGGGTCCCGGTACGCCCGACCCCGGCAGGAGGTTCCGCCCGGCCTTGTTGGAGGACGACGACCAAGGTGGCGGTTGCAGCTTGGGGGCGACGCATCGCGGGCTGTGGCTGATGGAGGACAGCGTCTGCTGGCTGCCGTTCAGGTAGGACGAGTTGTTGGATCCCTGCTGGGAGCGGTAGTTGTAGTACGCCTGCCAGCCCTGGCGCTTCCGTTTCCAACGGCAGCGGAGGATCCGGATGAAGGCCTGAAGGCACGGGGGGGTGTCAGGATCTCTGTTTGCATTACTTGCTTCGAGTAACTAGAGCTGAATGATTTTTAAAAATAATTGAATGTCTTTTTTTTCCCCCCTCAATGCGATTCAATCAATTATTTTTGTCAAGGTCCTCTTGCCATGTATTCTTGTTAACAGAGACAAGCAATAAATCCATTTGTATTCCAATAAACAACACCAGATTTACAACACATAAATATTTTGACCTTGCAGGTTAGGGTTACGCTCAAATGACTGTTGAAATAAGATGAGTTTCATTTGCTAACTTAAGAATCACTTTAGCTTGCAGTCTTTTAAGCGGCTTCATACCTGCTTAAACTCACGACTGTAGCAGGGGTAAATGATGGGGTTCAGGCAGCTGTTGAAGTAGCCCAGCCAGAAAATCACCTTGAAGAAGGTTTCGGGTGGGCGCAAATTTCTGTTAAAAGAACCTAAAACACACAAACAATTTAAATTTTCTGGAATATGTGAAGATATAGCACACAGCAAATGCAGACTCTTCTGGACTTTGGTGGTATTTTAAATTAAAGGCTGAGCTTGTGAAATGTCAACTGCTATGTTAGCTTCTCTTGCTAGCTAGTTCACTTCCAGCTGACTAAAGTAATTGTTTTAATTTTTGGGTTGTGTCTTTTTTAAGGGGGGGGGGGGTTAAGTTTTCTACACCCTGTTTTTATTCCGCAATGGCCAATTTCACATTTGATACTCCATCACTGGTTTTAGTGTGTTGTTGCGCCTTTTTAAGAGTGAATCACGACAGTTGTTTGATTTAGAATGCGCATGATTGCTCACGAATCGGATTGAGCTGTTGTTGTTTGTGAACATTTGGATCCTCGGGGATTGATGTCACATTTGAGTCCATCTGTTTAAAAAAGGAAGAAGTCATCCAACTGGCTAGCTGCCTTAGGATACGTAACGCATGGTCCAGTCCAGTAGCAGCAGCGTAGCTTGGAAAACTGGAAAGGAGAGCAGGGAAGAGTTCTTGCCACTAAGGGGCAGCATTTGCTTTCATCGTCATTCCTGAGAGGCTTCTCACCTTCATCCAGTTTGGACGATAGTCTAAAGCCCTTGGTGACCCCCCCAGGTGAGGCAGGTGCTCCTCACGTCCGAGGCTCTCGTGGGATTTCCGGGATTTGTGGCGGATCGACACTTTATTTTTCCTAGATAACAGATCTCCTGCGAGATGAATTTGTTCTCCTCCGACATGGACTTGTAAGGCCATCCTGTATCGCCGCCTGCTATCTCTGACTATATATGACGAAACCCGGCGCGAAAACCAGCCGTCCGCCACCATAACGAGTGCGTGGCATCATCTTCCCATCATGCATCACTGTCATCCTAACCCAAGTTTGGCTATTTCTTTCCTCTCACACAGGAAGGTTTTATTTTAGCTTGAGTTTGGGGTTCCAGCCTTGTCCTCCGTGTAAACACTGTCAATGACCACACTACTCAAGGGGCTATTTTGGAAATGCAATGTACGATGCTAACAGTGCGCTAAGGGTACTATCAATCCATCCGTCCATTTTCGACACCACACGTCGTCATTGGGATCATAAGTAAGCTTAGGCCGATCCCAGTTGACTTATGGCGAGAGAAGTTGGATAAAAATAATTGTCTCTGTGATAACGGCAAACAAACTTATCAAATGTTCTGCCCGTAACTCGTAACTTTAATGTTGTAAGCGTGAAGGGATCGAACAAGCGGCCATTTTAGTCACTATCCAATTTCCTCAATTAATCGGCCGATTAATCGGTGATCTGAAATTTATCCTGGCAAATATAGGAATCGGGATCAACCTAAAACAAATCCTTATTGGTCGTGCCCAACGCAAAATCTCTCGACTTTGAGGCAAAGGTGGTCCCCGCTAGGCGACCGCGCTGCCCGTCCTGAATATATTCCACGAAATGTTAACCACATCTGAAAATTAGCATCACAAGCGTCGGTCGACTTCAAAGTCGTAAAATCAGCCATATGTTTTGGGTTTATGCTTGCATAAATTAAAGTGAACATTTTATTATTTAATAGTGGAAACTTTTTTTTCTCTTTTTTTTTTTCCATCCAAAGTGCAGTTTTATTGAGTCCGAAGTGTAGTTCACGGCTCAGCAGAAACGAGGCATCAGAAATGCAACTCAGCACTAAAAGAGCAGCAGAGGTCAAAGCGCAGCTAAAAAGCAATTTTAAGTGCCCGGGTGGTAAATAAATATACATATGTTATATGATGATGTATTCTTTCATAAAGTCTTGAGGTGTCATTCGAGCACCTCGTCTGAGTGTGAGGAACATTTCTAGAATTATGGATTGAGTTCAAACATAGGAGAAAACATGAATAAAAAATAGATATACATTTAATCCTACCTACTATTTAGCTGTGTTGTTTTATTGATTTTTTTGTCGGTTGTTTTTTTTTTTTTTGTTATTACTACATCTACTCGGACCATCAAATTGTATTGCGTGTTGTACAACTCCAACAAAAAACCTGGTAAACGTTTTTTGGGGGGTGAGCGTACGTTGGTGAAAATCTCCATGTCTAAATGAGGTTTTTATGATCAGATTGTCGAACTAACTCTTTTCACTGTATGTTAATGTAGAGCAAAGCTTCTGGCAGACATGATGCTATCTCATGTTTTTGCAACTCACAGTAAAAAAAAAAAAAGGGGGGGGGCATCTGAAATAGAACAGAAGCTCTTAAATAGAACCAGATGATATCCAATGCACTGTTGGATACATAAAATTGATACGACACGCAAATGGCCATAGAACTAAAAATTGACACCTAATTGTGTTTGGCATTGTGTCAACGTGCCATGTCTACGCATTGTAGTCGTGCGCGAAGTGCTGCCTCCGTGAGTGAAAATGCTTTCAGTGAGTTGGGGGCACTTTAGCGCGACGAATGAGGATCAGCAGAATAGAAAAATCAATGGATTGAAATTTCAGTCATTTAAATTGACGTGCTTCGTTTTTGTAATTATCAATTTAGTTCACACAAAAGATTGGTGGGTTTTTAGTTTTTGCTGTGCTGTTTTTTTTTTTTTTTTTAAATTTCAGACATGGAATTTAAAAAAAAGTGATTCTGTATTTATTTTTTTAATCTTGCACCTCGCAAATGCCTTCTACAGGGGACATTTGCTGTTTGTGGGGGATAGAGGTTGATAGTTAAAATCTGCAAACGATGCGCATTGTAAATGCATCAGTCACTGCTTCCTTTTCACGATTAGCGCAGGTCTTGCGATGGTTAGTTCTGACAATGAGAGGTACGTACTGATGGGAAGAGCCAGGAAGAAGGGCAGCCAGCACAGGATGAACATGCCCACCACCACGCCCAGCGTCTTGGCAGCTTTCTTCTCCCTGGAGAACTTGAGCAGCTTGACGGTCAGCGTGCAGCGCCCGGCCGAGCTCGCGCCGCCGCCCTTGGAGGCGGCGCACAGGTCCTGGATCTGTTGATTGCGGCAATGGATCCTCAGTGTGAGCTCGTTGGAGTCCTGCTGCCGCTCCTTCATCACGCCGGCCTCCAGGTTCTTGGTGGTGCGCTTTGCTACCACATAGACGCGACAATACATAGCCAGGATGACGGCCAGCGGGATGTAGAAGGAGCCCAGCGAGGAGAAGAGGGCGTAGAATGGCTCCTCGGTGATCACGCACTCGGTGTCGTCCTGCGGGAAGGGTGGAGGAGGTCACACACGAAGTTTTCCGGCGGGCCTGCCATCCACCTTGTGTGAAATTACTCAACCCAGCTAATCTTTTGTACACCACCGATTGTTTTTTTTTTCCGAAAATGTGTCTCTGCAAGAGTTGTGTTTGCGCAGAACACGCCCACCTGCGATGGCGGCTGCTTCCATCCGAGGAGCGGTCCGATGGAGATAACGATGGCCAGGATCCAGACGGCCAGCATGGCGAGCAGCGCGCGCCGCTCCGTCACGATGACCGGATACTGCAGCGGGTAGCGCACACCGATGTAGCGGTCGATGGAGATGACGCACAGCGACATGATGGACGCCGTGCAGCACAGGACGTCCACCGCCGCCCAAATGTCGCAGAAGATGCGTCCGAAGACCCAGTAGTCCAGAATCTGTGGATAAAGATTTGGGAATGGGCATCTCCTGTTTAAGGTGAGTACCTTGGACACAAGGATGCTGTATCATTCATTCATACAGCAATAATACATGTAGGTTGGAGGAGTAAATAGAAGAAGACTGTCCCAACTCAGGTACAATCATATTTTTTTTTTGCAGAGGATAAAGAATATATGCCTGTGGGTATTGTTTTATTGGCTGTCAACATGTTTTGCTCCTGCCCGTGTTCCACTATGATGTGTCAAGTATTTTTAAGCACTGTGGCCTCAATGTGCTAGTTTTTTTTTTTTTTTGAGCCAGTGTTTAGTGCTAGCGGATTTTCAAATGACAAAGTTGTGTGGATTGGATCAATACAAAAAGGGTCTTCAATTATGCCCCAAAGCCAACCAATTTTTGCAAGCATGTGCACCCTGGTGGGAAAATTCCCATTTTAGGGGACCCCACATACCCTCCCCAAATCACACAGAGGCGCCCCCAGGAAGTCGGTTATTTTGGTTTGAAGCATTCGATATGGGAGGGGGGAGATTCCAAGGTTCGATGAACTGAACTCTTCGCGGGGAAGTGTCCCAAATGAGCCCGAATCGGAGCAGATTTAGCCCACAGATGGTGGACGTGATAATTAAAAAGATATTTTTTTTGCCTACATCGTGTAGCGTGGGTGGCGTATACCAGCATCAAAGTTTGTTGATCATTTGTGGTGTCTGCGTGATGACAGAATGGTGTGCAGAGGCTCATTCCTCACAGTTTTTGTGCTTGCCGTGGTTTGAAACTGCACTATGACATACTGCGAGTGTCTGCGTGTAGGGGAGGGAGCTAACATTTTGGCTCGTGTGAACCAATAGAGGGTCACCAAAATCCGTTTCTGTACATTTGACAAAAAATATTTTTATGTTGAAGGGCAACATGGTCAAATCGGAGTTTGTAAATTCTTCCCATGTTCTCCCACGTTCCAAAAACCTGCTTGATCATTTTAATGGGGAGCAAACAACTTGCGAGTGACTCAACAATGCTTCCAATGGGCCAGCAGAGGGCGCAAGAAATTATATACAGTATACATGATGCTTTATAATTAATGCAAAATGAACTCTCCGTCTATTTTTTTTTTTAATTAGGTTACTTACGGACTACAAAATCAAACAAAAAAAAAACAATTCAAGTTTGAAACAGTCAGATGAAAAATAAATAACGAAATAAATAAACACATTTGGCTGTAACCGAGCATACCTTTGGTTCAATTAGTCAATCAATATGTTCATGTGTATCAATATACAAAAGTCCGAAAGTTGGAATACTGTACACATTTTAAATTAACCGGCATATTTTCCCAAACGTTCATTTGTATATTATATATTGTTTATGTTTTGTTCCCAATTGCGCAAGTAATAACTCTAGCAGGTGTTCAGAGCAATATTTGTCTGATGGTCCTATATTTAGCAGTAGTTATGAATTAACAATTTTGTTCAGCAACAGGTGGATTTTTTTCCCCCCTGAAACGTTCGTTATGAATTACAATGCATGGTAAAATCTGTATTGCACAACCTTTTATCGGTCAAACCTAAAAACAAAATAATGAAAATATCTCAAACGACTAGAAAACATAAAGTGATTTTTTTTTTTTAAATCATCATCAAAAAATATATTTGGTCATACATAAAGCCAACCCTGATTAAACTTCACTGTTGACCAGTGTCGTGGAATCACTGAAATTAATGTTGAAACTGTGCACAATGAGCATTTTTTTTCCATCTAAATGAAGTTTTAAAACATTATAGAACCCCGGCATCATTGTTTTTTATCCCCCTTATGAACACTTGGGACTACTACACGACTGTAGTTTCGTTGGAGGGACGAGTACTGTATATATTGTTTTTTCCAAGTGGCGTCAAAGGTTTGAGTAGAACTACCGTAGAGTAACAATTCGCCGGAAGCAACTTAAAAACCCAAAACGTGCAACAGTAACCGAGCTCCTTCGTCACGTCGTCGTATGTCGAGTCGGCCTTGCGCCGTCTCACCTCGAGCGTGGCGGACACCGGCAGCACGGTGGTGCTGAGCAGCAGGTCTGCGATGGCCAGGTTGATGATGAAGTAGTTGGTGGGGGTGCGCAGGTGGCGGTTGCACACCACCGACAGGATGACCAGCAGGTTGCCCACGATGGCGAAGGCGATGAACGAGGCCAGCAGCATGCCCACCGGCACGGCCCGGCTCAGCTCCGGCGGGGCGTGCTTGCTGCGGTTGCCCGTGGCGTTCGAGTCCGCCGGAGGCGAC